AGCAGTTCAGCAGCTCCCCTGTGGACACCTTAACAGCTCATCGCTGGATGTTGTACAGAGTGCAATGGTAAGACCGAAGCACATTGTTCTCCGAGTGAGACTGTGGGCGTATCCTGACTTTCCTTATATGAGCACAGTGATATGAGATTGTGTTTTAGTATTACTTAGTATACAATGTTGAGTTTATGAGCTGATAAATGTATTTTACCTGCAGTATTTTCTTATGTTTTATTATTTCCAAGACTTTCCTTTTTGTTTGTTAGCTTAATGATTTCATTTTTGTAGGAATTCATGCAATATTTAAATAATTTAGTTGATTGCCTGCTTTACTCAAATATAAACATAGACAGACATTAACTACTACTGATTTAAATTAAGTCATCAAATTTTGTATCTTTAATGTTTGACCTGACAGATTGCAATTAAAATGCTTTGCATTTTTTCATGTGGAAGGCTGAAACATTTACACTAAAAAAGGAACAACAACAAGAAATGTATGTACTCTCAGTTATTTAGGGGTGGTTATTAATGTGTAAAGCCCACTAAATATAAACTTTGCTATACACAATTTACCAAGTCAGTTATTATTTGCATGCATCCAGTAGGCTATTAAGAGTAATACAGCCTGCCTGGGGATTTTTTTTCTTTTGTTTTTTTGGACAAAAACTCTTTCTTTTTCACTGCATTGCTCAACTAGCTGAGAAGAAATGGTGAGTGAAGATGATTACGAAATTTGAATACTGCCACAGGAGTTACAGAGTGTGGACATCAGCCTGCAGTCATTCTGGTCAAACTGATGTTCTGCAGAGGAGGAGTGCAACACTTCCTGTTGCGACGTACCCTGTATCCTGTTTTCCACAGTCAGTGGTCATGCGTGTCATTCTCCTCTGCGAGTCTGTGCGGGCACAATCTTGTGACCCGCTGTGAATCTTCTGATACTGAATCAAAGGAGACTCCGCATGTCTGAGAAAAACTCTAAATGTCAGCAAAAAAATATGTATAATAGCACAATTAATGTATCCATGTCAACTGAGTAATTACTATGACTTTAGTCTAACTTGCAAAAAGTGAATGGAGCAGACTACAGTAAATAACAGACATATTCCATTGTATAATCCCTGTGTTTTTAAGTTTTAAGTAAGCTGTAGCAGCACCAGAAACAGAACCATTTGATAACCACTGTACTGTGCTTCCTTCAGAATATTAGTAGCCTCTTAAAATAAGTGCATGCAAAGACAGATGATGAGAACACTGACACCTTCACACAGCAGGCCCTAGGAAGGCCAAACAATGTGACTGAGTATTAAGAGGCGCCAATGTAACAGTTTGCATGCTTGTGTGTGAGTTTTAACCATCAGAGATATGTATCTTGTGACTACATTCAGATGTAAAGCTGTGAAGTACTCAGTTACACCCTGTGGTGGAACCAAACCAGAATGCAGTACTTGGTCAGAGCTACTGCAGGTCACAAATATGTAACTTCACAGTGTGTCACTTACACTTGAAAATAAATATAACAATTCTGGCAACTTTATTTTATACACTATATCTCATTGTACATGTTTTTGAGTGAGAAAAGACTGGACACCATAACATGAACACCCATTTAGTGTTCATAGGTGAAACAATTTGCTTGCTAGCACCTCCCATGCTCACTAATGTTGCGTCTTGTTTATGCCTGGTCAAGGAATAGTCCGGCACAAAACTCCACAGATTCAACAACTAACATATAATGTGTTAATTAGTGAGTCTTGGATGTGCTGGTGGAGTTTGTTACCTTTACAACAAGTTTACCCCATTTTCCTGTCTTTGTGCTAAGCTAAGCCAACCAGCTTCTGGCAGTAGCTTCATATTTAACATAGAGAAATGACACTGGTGTCACTATTCTCATCTAACTCTCACCGAGAAAGCAAGTGTATTTCCCAAAATGCCCAACTATTTCTTTAAATACCACACTAAACACTCAATTATGAATAAGTCCAACTTTGAAAAATGTTACTTAAAGCAATGTCATGTCATTTTATGTAATTATCTTAAAAACACAATCTTACTCTTACAAATTAAAACTTGAATTTATAAGCAATAAACTCCCTGTTGCTCATTTCAGCACACTCAGGGGTTCTGCTGCCAGTATGGAGGCTGATGTTACTCTACATTCTGCAATAACTGACTCTTGTTGCCACAGTTGCAGCTCTTTTATTTATTTTTTTCAATTTAAGTATATATATAATTAGCAAAATGTATATTTAAACTATCAAATTATGCAGTGCAGAAAATGCCATTACTAATTACTGATGCATTAATGTGTAAGTTGTAAGTAGTATTGTACTATTGTAGTGTACTCCTGTTGGTCGAGGTAGAGCTAATTTTAAGTATGTTGTTGAGTATAATATTTTACAAGCCCATCATATGTTTTGTAAGGTTTATATAGCATCTTAATTTGTAAAAACCTGTAACCATAGCTAAGCACTAAATGCAGTGTAAAAAGTACGATATTAGTAGTATAGCCTACAGAGGCATCAAAAGGAAATACCCAAGTAAAGTATCTCAAACGTGTACCTGCGTGTACGTACAGTACTTGAGTAAATATGCTAAGTTAAATTCCACCACTGTTTTTTCAGCTGTGAACCGGTGGTGTATTATGAATCAACACATCTCTGACACATTCTTAGCTAAAACTGGACATTGTGTGAGTCTCACATGTTCTGACTATTGTATTAGATTTCATTATATTTTAAGAGAGTTCATGTTTTTGTGTCTACCACTGCATTATCAATACATATAGGTAATACAGCTAGACTCCTGGTTCCATGGTTGATAGCACCACTGCAAACTACAACCTCAATAATGAACAAACAGTTGAATTGATACCTATTTTACAGTGTAAATCAAAAATGAACATTATTATCTTTGTAAAGGTAGAATTTATGGCTGAGCTGTGGTGTTGGACTGCATTAGATTTTACAGGTGTACCTACTAAAGTGGCCTCTGAGTGTAAATTGGCAAAGCTAGTTGAAGTTTTTGAAAAAAAATCACATGCACATGACGACTGGAAACTTTTTGGAAAAACAATGCACAGCATGTGATCTGTCAGGGCGACCGTGTTTACAGTCTCTTTACAATGTTGCAATCTGCATGCAGAATGCGAAATAGAAGCGCTAAAGGCTTAAATAAACACACTCTGGGCTCAAAATGTGTTAATAATAAGAAATTTTAAAAAGCAGGATGGTTACTGTGACTGAGTACATGCGGTTGATCTGTATTCCAGGAGCACTGTAATAAGTGGAAATGATTTTGGTGTAATAAGCCAAAAGTGTTATTTGCCTTCTTCTGTTTCCTGTAGTTTCTAATATGGCTCACACAATAAGTCATTTTCATTGGTCACACAGCTCGGTTTGTTTCTTTTTATCTTTAGTTACTATTTCTTACACTGACACGCTATTGTTTTAATTACACCACCTGGAGCTGGTATGGAATAAATGTCTTGTCAAAAGATGTTTCAGCAGTCCACACTGCATACTGTAAGAGAAAGGATTGCACATAGACTTGGCACTATGGTTTAAGAGCACTAGATTAAACCATTAGGCCATCATGTCACACAAAGAAAAATGTGCCACCAAGGCAACCAACCCTTAAAGAGGTCTGGATGATCCTGACCATATGACACGTAAATAGATTAATTTAAAGGCAACCTTCAAGGAACTGAATCTGAAAGACAAGTTCCCAGTTCCTCATTTAATAATATGTCACTGTTGGTGTGCATGTACTGTGTACTTCATCTCTCAGGCCACAAGGAAGACAAACAGACCTAGACTAGTGCAGTTACTTGTATAAAATCAGAGAGAAGACCAAACCAGATGTATGATTTTAAAAATCAAATTAAATTTAGATTCAAATAGTCTGTGTTAAAGTTGAGTCAGTGTCAATGGCTAGCTAAGAGAAACAGTTACTACAGTAATTATTATAACAGACCTGAACGTCACTTGACTTACCTCCAGTTTTAAATTACTTTTCTGCAGGTGCAACAGTGATAAAATCAATATCTTCAATCCATTTTCTTTTGACCATCTCTGTAAATACCTCTGCTGGCGCACACTGGATAAAGAAATGCATTGTCTCAACTCAATCATTAATTTAAGCTGTTTCTCAAATGAAGTACTAGTAAAGTTATATGTAGTATGATGTTATTGTACTTTTAGAGTGTGCGAAGTTCTATGAGATCAGAAACAGTATAAAGGCAGTAATTTAGTTAATCCTGCAAACTGGTGGCAGTGTCTGACGATTTATGCTTCCCTGTCAAAAAATGGTACCTTAATGCAAATTAATGGCACCTACTCCTACCTGTGACCATAACCACAACCGCATGCAAAGAACTGAAAAGTAGCACATCTTTATAGGTAACATAAATTGTCAGTACACTGGAGCTGTTAACCTGTATGAATTTTACCTGAAAAACAGTTTAGAGGGCCGAAACATCATTATTAACGTAAGTGCAAGTGATCGACAGTGTGCAGGATTTCTCTTTTACAGATCAATTTGCACCCAAAATAATGTGTTGAATAAATTTGAACAAATGACTGATGCAGACTATTTATTTTCCTGAATAACCACAGCAGTTGATATAACTCTTTGACTCATTGGGTGGCTTTGCTGTGGTTATCTGTGGCTGTCGCAGGACTGTAATAAACATTGGCTGGCCTACCTGCCTGCATACCTACTGACCTGCCTACCTGTGGAGTGGCTTTGGAGGGAGGCCTGAAGGGAGGGGTTGGGATTTCTTTGGTTGGATACTTTCAAAATCTAGCTGTCCCTTGCTGGTTCGTTGCCTATCCTAGGTTTGTTGTAGGTTAAGCTAACCACCAGTATACAGTTTAAAGTAATTGTAATATAAATTATCTCCAGCTTTACAAGCTGCAACATTATGTGACATACACATTTTTGCATCAATAATTAAGCCCCCCCCCCCGACCCTGTACGCAGGATAAGGGGTTGACGATGGATGGATGGTATTAACATTTACTTAAGTACCTCTGAAGATGATAACATTAAACTTTTATTACCCACTAAGTTGCAATTGAGTTGATGTTAGTATCAATTTGTTAAAACTCTACATCAGCTAACATTTCAGTTCTATAATTGAATGTTAACACGTACCGTGTGGTTAAATGATCAAACTTGACTTAGTATTATACTGTAAGTAGAATCACACTCAAATTTTAGCTTAGCTTAGGTTATACATAGAATGCATTTTAAACTGTTGCTTTTCTGTTATTATGTTGCTCAACATGATCAAAAACTCATCAAAAAACCCCAATAATTATCTTTTGGATTCACTGAAAATAGTTGTGATGGAAATAGTGCATGGCTTTCTGCAGCCCCCTCTGTGTATTAATACTCTCGGAAAATGCTACTGTATATGTCATCAGTTTTACACTGCCAACTGTGATTAGGGCTGGTCGGGGCTGGCCACAGTCTGTGTGGTTTTAACAGCTCCCCAAACAAAGACTCTAACGATCATGGTCTTCCACCAGTCAACAAGGAAAACAGGCCAACACATTGATCAAAAGCCTTTGAAATTACAACAGACATGAAGACACAAGTATCTTAACCACTTTAAAAAAGCATGCAACATAGAATGCACAAAAGAAGAGAAATAATTATCTATAATTATCTACACCATAATTATCCCCAGTGACAATCACTATCTACTGCACCTTCCTGTGTGATTAATGTAGCTAACTACTTTATGAAAGCAGCATTTTAAAGAGGATTTGATCATGCTTTTAATCTGTAGATGAGATCTCAGCACCCATAGGAATTAGCACACTGACTGCGGTAAGAAGATAAACATAACCTCAGTATTTTGATCTTACAGAAAGTAATATTTTCAGGGCATTGCCTTATCACAATGCTGCAGTCTTCCTCTACAACAGGCAGCGCTAACAATATACACACAGATTTGTGCTACACTGTTAACTGTACTATTCACTTATTAACAGTTATCTCAGCATCTGGGAAATATGCAGTATCTTCAGTTATTACAGTTGCCGTGATGTGTTCAGAAACTGGTAACCAACATATTTAACTTTCATTTTGCCCCAATGCATTGAGAACGTACAGTAGACAGAATAAATATCCATAGTATGTTACATAACAATGTTTTACTGAGCCAAACAAACAGGCTTTTGCAGTTTCTTAGTTGGTAATTACAGCAGATGGACTCAATCTCCTCCCAAGAACAGTATCTCCTCTTTGTGATAATAATAATCTTCATTTCACTCAATGTGGTTACAACACAGATACTGTACCTTCATCTTATCTTCCAGCTGTGTGTGTGTGTGTTTGTGTGTGTGTGTGTGTATGTGTGTCTGTGCGGGTGTGTGTGGGCATGTTTGTGTGCCAACATTTTTCCTAAACAAACTTCTGTTTACATCACCCCACAACATGTTTTAGTCATTTTGCCACAGCGTACACTTTCAGTCCTTCAGTTTCAGGTTTGCATTCAGAACCCGGATGCATGATTGTTTACAATGTGACACTTAAACTTCACACAGTGTACTAACAGCTAAAAATAATATCCATTGCTTCACAATCCTGTCTTTGTTGTCCTGAAATACTTAACTTAAAACCCCCCAATATAGCATTTATAAGCCTTATTTAAACCTTAAATAAATGGTTTATGACACTCTGTAATGTAGACGTAAGTGTTAATATTCAGTATTTGTCAACAATTATAACTTCCTCAAATTAAGACATTTATATTACTAGATATATTTTAGTATATTATCATTCATTAGCTTTATACATCAGCTCTGCAAAAACACATTAATAAACACAAACAGTTCCTTATATCTGCAATTAATAACATTGTAATAAACTGTTTATTAAATGCTTACATACTGCATAAAAATGCTAAATGGTACCCATTATGCCTTGTATGACAAAAGCCACATTTTTCACCAGATACTGCTGTTGAGACCATAGCCAATGCTATAGTTTGAATTAAACATATTTTAAAAGCAAAGGATATTAATAAAATCAACCAAACTTAAACTTAAAATGTTCAACAGTTCATTGCAACCTGTGTTTGCCACATCAGGGGGGGACTGACAGTGAGGAAATGCCTTGAAGATGATTGGCTGCTAAGAGGAGGGAACAGTATATAGACCCTGATAAATATGGAGTTTCATGGTCTCCCCTGACAAATCATCAATGACCAGGAACCTTTAGCAGACACACTCTATTGCTCCCACCCACAGACATTTTACAGAAGTCAAAAGTTCCTTTTTCATTTTACAGTCAAACAGCGGGCCTCGTTAATTTAATTTTATCTGACACAGCTGAAGGCCTCCGAGAGTAGCTAAGTTCTTAAGTGTTCACTATACAATAAGAGAGAGAGAGAGACATTTTTTGGTCTTTGTTGAGTGAGAGGAAATTTTGAAACATTGTGCAATGGTGCCGCAAAAGTTTTGAAAGGTTGTGAGAGAGTGTTTTGCCAGTAAAGCGTCTGAGACTTGGTCTACTGGAGAAGAGGTCTCCATGTTGCATCCATACAGAATGGAGAGCTACCTCATCCCACCTGTAAGTATCTTATTTATTTTCTTATTATCTAAACTCTCAGGAGACTTTCTAGCATGTGAAGCTTGAAAGAGTTCCTTGTAGGAATAGTTTGTTTTTAATGTAGCATTAACCAGAAACACATTTAAGAGTCAAGAGGACGGATGACATGTATTATTTAAAATTAGATGACTTAATGTGAGTCTACTTCAATTTGAATACAGGACGCAAAGTCTAGAAGTCTTTTATATTACAGGCAACATGAAAATGAAACTCAAAAGATCTTGACAGTTTCAGAACAGTAGTGGCAAGAAAAAAAAATCATTATTAAAACACAAATACTCCTAATGTATCATCTAATTTACATATTTAGAAACAATGTGAATATTTCATAAAAGGTGAGTTTGATTATTTCCATTAAATGATTACATGAGTAATGATATAATGGATGTTGTCTGTTTCATATACACCATCCAGAAAATATATATAATAATATTTTCCTGTCATGATATTTTGTGGCTGAAAGTGTTTTTATTTGCTCTTTCAGCACTCAGAAGAAATGTACGATCCTGAGATCTACAGACATCCAATTACAGAATATTATAATCCATATGTTTTAGATGCTGATATCCAGGCAGGTGAGTTTTACTTCAACATTGATTTTGTTTCAAAAGCGTTTCAATTTAAATCCCCAGTTGATCTATTTAATCACAGTGAATGAGGTTTAAATGAAAGATTTTTAAAAATGCAATCGAATGATGATGATTGTATGGGAAAATGTTAATGACACATACTAAATCCACCGACTTGACTCTTGTTTTGAAGTGTCTTCATTTCACTAAAAGAAAATTGTAATTTTAGTCATTTAGTCAGCTGTCATTTTATTCTTCACATTAATCACCATGACCTGATGTGGTGACACTGACTTTTTCTGGTATATTGTACATAAAAAGTCTGCAGTGTGTGCAGCTGGAGCGCACCACATTAGGGTGTATGGAACACAGGAAACAGATGCCATTTCTTTCGGCTCGCTACAACTACAGACATAGAACAACTTTCGCCCCATGGGGTTTTGTTGATACAAGAGAGGTGCTTTACTTTCTCTTGTAATCAACTGTTTTGAATATTGCCCCAAAACAATCTAAATAGGGGGGAAATTATTTTCCCTTGCCTTATAACCCACTGAGAAAGCTTCAGTTGTCTAATATCTGAATATCTCACACCTATTACTACAATCTTTAAATAAAAATGAATACACTACATATACTGATATACAAAAGAAGGATCTTACAGTGTTGAAGTCGATGTGCAACATGGCATTATTATCCAGTTTCATTTATTACTTTTAAGAGTGTGTGATATACTTGTTCTCTTCTATTTGGCTCTCCTCTATTTCCATAGTGAAACTTGAGAGCTGGCATGTTAAAATTTTCTTGTTTAATTCTAAAATACATTCTGAAAAACATAGTCAAGGACAACATGAGGAGGAGCGCGAATTCAAAGCCAACGGCTGTGGCGACACTTCTAGTGTGGCAACAAACAGGAAAGAGCTTCATGCTGAATTCTCTATTATTCCCCTCATTTCACCCGCTTTATGCAAACTCAAGCACTATGAGTAAGCAGCTCGTTGTCAAGTCAGTATGATTTTCATAGACAGTCTGGCATTTCTAAACTTTTAAACATGTATTTCTACTATATCACGTTATAAAAGACATGTTCGTGACTTTGTATGAGGCTTAAACTTACTAGGGTCTTTTTTTTTGTTGGAGTACAATACAAGTGTCAACTGTTGAGACATCAAAGTAGTGACCTTAAGAAACCACAAAAAGCTGTGGCCATTATGAAGTTTCTCACTTCTCTCTCTTTAGATCACTGGGACTACCACACTCACCCTCACATACACCCTGTAGAGTTTGAAAACCTGCAGGAGGCCAACTTCACAGAGCTGCAGAGTGTGCAGGCTCTCCACCCGCCCGGCCTCATACGACACGAGGCCATACGATATGAACCCGAAAACCTGCTTGATCCAAATCTTGGGGCAAATTCACATGTGTTACAGCAACCAGTAAGTCCTTCTGTCACCCAACAACAACAAAACACTCATGCATTAAAAAAATTAACAGACTTTCAGTAAATCAACACACACACACACGGTTGCACCTGCACACAACAAACAACTACATGCATTCAAATATAAATGTAGACTAATAAATGCAGACAAATAAACAAATAATGGCTGTTTTTTTTTTGTTTTTGTTTTTTTACTAAAGCAATGTAATGTTAGAGTAACTGATGAGTTATGTGCTGTATAATTAGTCAGGGACTTCCATGCCATGATGCCTCATTCATTGTTGAAGTGATGACAGTAATGACCTGAAGTGAGACGTCTTCAAACGCAGACATCTTCAGAGACAACATAATTCACAGTTGGGTTTATAATCCGAGAGGACATTTGAGGAGTTAGAGGGTCCTGTGACAAAAATCAGGAAGTGAATCTTTGAGCTACAAGAAAAACTTTAATTTTATTTATTTTTCTGTGTTTCTAGTTTTCCTTTCAGTTTAAAATGAAAATTTTGTTTTAGTAGAGTCTGAAGGCTCAGCTAAGCTTCAAGTAGAACAGAGATCTCTGGTGTTGGACTACATAACAAGTTACAAGTACAGTGTGTCTAACCAAGTGAACATTTTCAAATCTGAAACCTCAACACTTCCACATACCATATGTTGGATATATCATTACAAGCTCAAGCTGTGAAGACAAGCAGAGGTCAGAAAGGCACATTTACTTAAGGTAATTCAAAGCGCATTTACATGTATTTAAAATAACAAAACAGACATTAAAAGACAGAATCTAAAAGAGAACATAAAAGAAATTGTAATCACATGTACCATAAAACTTACATTGTATGTATATGTATTGTTATATTATTCATAATTTACAATTCTAGTCAGGATTACAGGCTTTCCAAATACACCAACACTTTCTCCACTGGAGGTAATGGTGAGGCCAAAGGAGTCATGGATTTAAATCCATGGACCACTTGTTCTGTTATTATTTATTCTATGAATCCAATACAAGAAACTAACAACTGGCTTTTATACTTTTTTGATGTTATGCCCAAGTCAAAAATAGGAAATGAAAAAATGGGCCATGGACCAAATTTGAGTTAGATACTTACTGTGTCTGATTTGTGTGACAAGTTATTCTTTGTGTGTTGTACTTGATAGCCTAACTTTGCAACAAAATACACTTAGACGATGGCGCTACCTCATTTAACGTAATGAATATAGGCTTGAACACCAATATTGTTAATGGTTTAACGAAGTATTTTGAAAAATGTCACCTTAAAAGTCTTCAATTGTGTGAAAAGATAAACTCTTACAAGACACTGTAAGTATAATGCTGCCATGGAAAGAGTGAGTTATTACAGAATTAATTTGATACTGAAGAAATCTTGGAGGATTCTCAGGCAAGTTCTGAAGCATTACCATTCCTGTCCCAGTACACACACACGTTAAGTTAGACTGTGTTCTGCAAATTGAGCCTTTTTTTTAATATCCCAAAATACGTAGTTAAAAAAACAACTTAAAATTGATGTTTAGGCTCATGTTTATACCAATAAATCAGGTACTGCCATAGCCCAAGTGTATTTACTGCATGTTTATCAAGCGCAAGATCCAAAGAAGTCAGCAACTTCCTGGTTACACAAATCAGACAAATTAAATAAAATCAAATTTGGTGCATGGCCCGTTTTTTTCAATTTGTATTTTTGACTTGATCAAAAAATCAAAAAGTCAGTGAACATGTGAAGTTGTCAAATATTAAACATAAATTCCATTTTTCAATTTTTCATATAGTAAAAAATAAATAAATAAAACAACATATTTTAAATACCTTCAATCTTTGGCAATACTGGGAAGCATTTGTTCTTCATACCTAAATAAACTTCTTGTTCCTTCCTGGTATTAATTACTTTTAACTATACTACAATTAACTATTATAGGATACTGCCTTTTCACTTTGAAAGAATATATTTAAAAATTTTCATTTCATTTCATGTAGTTTTTGTGTGTGCATTGTGCTCTGCTCACAGGTGAACTGCAATTTGATTAGGATTGTTATTGTGCATGGTACACCCACAGTTGAATGGGATGCTATGAAACTTTAAATAGCAGTTTTCAGTGTTAAAATCCTTTATTAAAGCATGGGACACAGACATACAACTAACATACGTACACAAACACCTACCTACTAAAACACAAGAAACATTTCATTTCAGCTTCACAATTTGTGTTTTTGCTGTTTGTAGCCTTACAAAGAAGCCACAAAGTATGCGTACTTATGGGTTACATGATGGTTTTCACTAGTGAGCAAGTTGAATTTCCCTTTTGAAAAAAAGGACTGCCATTTTCACAATTAGAGGAAAATGTGTTTGTATGTGATAAAAATAAGGTGCTAATGCATCAATAGAAACGTGATATGAGAATACAATGTGAAAACCACTGTTCACACATGGAATTCACATGTAGGTTTCCACCACTAACTGCTTTTTGTAAAGGATGTTATGAATATGTTGACGTGTATTGAAGTGTTGCCCACCCAGGCATACAGCTATAGCAGCGTCCACACATCACAGATCATGAAGAGAGATGTTGCCATACTCTTTCACTTACAGTGAGAAGACTTTAGTAAAAACCCACGCTTCAGAATATGTGCCTGATGTTAGGTACAGCACAATATATGTGTAGCAACATGATCTCTCTAAATCACCTAATTGTACTTCATAATAATCCAATGCAAAATAGATCCAAAAGTGTCAAATATGGCTGTATGAAAGTTATTTTCAGAGAATTAAAATAAAAAGCCATTAAAAAGGTATTTGTTTGTGTAGGATGAGATGTAAAAAGCATCACTGGTGAAAGTAGTATTCAGTGGATTTTTGGAAGTAAAAGTACCACACTACAAAAACACTCTATTACAGGTAAAAGTTCTGCATTCAAAACTTTAGTAAAATTTTAGTAAAATTATTAAAATATCAAAAGTAAAAGTTCTCATAATGCAGAATGATGCCTGTCAGTGTTATATTTCTATATGATTGGGTTGTTATTAGTGATGCATTACCATGTAAGTGTTGCTTAAATGTTGGTCACGGTGGAGCATATTTTAACTGCTTCATAACCCGATGGGCAATAATGCATAATATTTTATAAACTGATCATTTAGTTTATATGTAAACTTATAGTAACTATAGCTGGTAAATATGTTTAGTGGAGTAAAAAGTAGCTTGGAAAATGGAAATATTCAAGTTGAAGTACCTCAAAATTCTACACAAGTAGAGTACTTAGTAGTGTACTTATTTACTTTCCACAACTGAATATCATTGCCAGTGAAGCTCAAGTTAAGCTCTGCAGTTTGGCGTTCACTCCCTGGGTATAAGGACAACAATTGCACTCTTTTCAATGCTTCCAAACATACATGTGCATGACAAGTTCACATTGTACAGCCAAACATTGCTTGTTTTATTTTCCCAGTCAGATCCTCTAATTTCTAAACATGTCATGCAGGATTCCATAAAATTATACTAGATTTATTTTTCCTTTCGCATAATGTATAAACAAAAAAGAAAAGACATACTGACTTTACAAAAACAAACAGAATGGAAAAGTGTTCTTTTAAAACCTTGGAGCAACATGAAGGGAATTACTGAAAAGTAAAATGACTTCAAATGACTAATAAACTTTGGCTCCTGTGTTATAGGTAGCGTTCTTCTCTCGACCTGTGTATCAACCACACGTGTCCCAGCGCAGCTCTGATGATGAGGAGCACGAAGGACGAAGTCCCCCGCTGGAGGTGTCTGATGATGAGTGTCTGAGAGAGCGAGTCTCATATGTCACACCAGGAGATCTGGGTAAGGAACCACGTTTATGGGCCATTTCATACAGTAACTGCATGTGCAGAGGGCGCACACAGCAGTAAACACGGTTACTTTAAGAAACACCAACTGTGCTGGCCATGTGAAGATTCTCAGTCATCTAGGTCATGGTATATCTAGAAGTGCTAAGTCACTGGACTTGCTTTAGATTCTTGCATCTCAAGAATTCTTACATTGGGCTGTGGAAATAACCCAGCAGATGTACTAGGAGAATGGCATGCTATCCAAAGTGGCTACCTCTTGGGCCTTGTGATGAGACATGTCAGAGATGTGTAGTCATCTTTTGGTCTGCCCTGTCTAATTTAACCAGTTTCTGCTGCATATATTTGGCAGTCAGCACCTTGTTTACTGAACAGGTGTCATGTCCATCACAACAGAATTTACTTACTCACTCTTTGTAAATGGTCTTGCAGGTAACTGTAGTTTGCTGGTGTAACCCCCAGATCTCCTCAGCAATTACGTGCTCGCTCTACACTTCCTCTTTTGGCCATCTTGACAAGGCCAGCGGAGCATGAGTTGTGTCTGCAGTGCCTGTATATTATATTGTATCTTATCTCTATCTAAATAGTTGCATGATGTTCTTTGTTACTCAAGCAACTATGCAAGCACTTCAGTGGCAGTGACTGTATGTCATCTACTTCATTGATACTTTGCCCACAACAACGCATCCCTTTGCATTTCTTTTTAATGCAACATCCTTTTTAATCTGAGTGTGGCCTTACAGAGTCCTTGTACATTTAGAGTATGAATGTGCACAGATGAATAGAGAACACACAGATAAACAAGTAACCACGGTTCTCCAAGAGACCATCTGTCCAGCTCAGGGCATCTCAGAATCATGTTCCAAACAAGGTAAACCAGAGACAGAACATGAATGGTCTTTAAATGATCACATATTGCAAATAATGGCAACTATATATATGTAGGCCTACTGAATCTGACAGTTTTGATAATTTGACTGTCAAGTAAGTGTCTTTAAGACAGAATCAGATTTAATTTTTGTGGTTACAGTAATCTATTTCAGGAGTTTCATGCCATTTTTCCATTACCAGTACCAGCTCAACTCGCATCGACTCTACTCTACTCGGTTTGGCCTTGCTCCGTTTTCCATTGCAGATAGTACCCAGAGATAGCGCCCCTCAATAGGTGCGTTTCGACCAAAGGAACTATACCGCACCTTTGGAGGAACTCCCAGTGTTAACAGTGTTAATTAAGCTCGTTAAACATCACGTTCCTCCAACACTCAGATGACACAGACGTGAGTCCTGCAGCTCTTGTCGCTGGAAATGTTTTAATAACCTTCCAAACTGCGATTTTATTTTTGTTGCTTTCTCTGTGCTGGAGTTATTTTAAGAACTTTACGGCTTTATGCAGTTTGTTTGGCTACTATTAAATGTGTAACGATCTTTATCGTGTGTCTCTTCATTATAGCTCCCACACAAAAAAGCTGCTTTAATGGTCAAGCAAAGCCTATAGTTTTTCATTATATTCCAGTCAAATCTGATGTTCATTTAATGTTGCTCATGGATAGTGGTTACAAATAATGATGCCTATGCATCAGCTGGTTAATTTGCCTAATCTTCGCAGGTCTTTAGACCACAGTGGAAACGCACACAATAGTGGGCTGAATGAACCTTTTAGTTCCTTGAAAAGAGATATGGGGACTTAAAAAGCGGCTAATGAATCTGGTCATCATAGCGATGCCACACACAACTGCCGCGACGTAATTTTCAACGCAACACACACACAGCTGTCTCTTGATTTAAGTTAAAACGTTTCTACATTACTCAGAATGTAAAGACAGATAGAAGGTATGAAATCCTTACAGCTGTGTTTTCTTCTGCCGTTGTTGCTGCAGCGGTCTGGGTGACGGTGGGAGCAGAGGGCTCTGTGAGCGGGCGGCTGACCGGCCTGGCGAGCTCCTCCCGCGGGTTGGCACAGGCTTCCCCCGCCGCCACTTGCGGAGCTCCACAGCGCCGAAAATATTCAAGAACATTTTTGTTCCGCCATCACTTTTCGTAAAACTGTCAATATTCGAATACTACACAGTTGATTTCTCACCACAAAACTTTTCAGAAGTGGATGTAGTAATGAAATAACGTATGAAAATTGTACAATATAAAACTTCTGTTGCTGGCCTCTGTCTGACGCGGTGAATGGTGACGATTCTCTCTGACCAACCAGAAGTCTGCTGTGTTTTCACGTCACATTTTAGTATCGCCTCGGCTCGCTTGGAGCCTCGACGGAGGTGATGCGAAAAAAAAGTAACTGGTAGCAGGTACAGGTAGGCCTACAACTTTTCTGCAATGGAAAACCAAAAAAAGGCGAGTAGAGTCGGGGCGAGTCGAGCTGGTACCGTACAGTGGAAAAGGGGCTATAGTTACAGTTACCTGGAACTTTCTGTAGTGGAGAGTTAAATCTGCATTTCTTGGAATCTAGAAAGTTTCCTTTTGTAGTCATTACACACAGTTAAATTGTCTTATTAGCTTAATATTTTAGGTCTCATATCTATGGTATATAAATGGTTGGTCTAGACTGGTTGAAACTAGCAAAAACCAACCTGGTCTCAGTCCCAAGTCGTCATACATGGACTCTCGGTTAAGACCTCTTGGCATCACTTTTTGACACACTGGGTATCCCTTTGTCTGCATTATTACTAAAAGTAAGCTTAGTATAAATAACTCTTTCACTTTCACCCAGGAGACTGGTGTTTGTTTCCCATGTGAAATCAATAGTCAATGTTGACTTCTTTTTAACTTAAGTTACACAACTTAACTTACATAACACACTTATTTTAACCCAAAGCATGATCTTTTCCTTAACCTAACCAACTTGCGACCATTTCACAACGTTACCTATGTGTTTCATTTTGAAAGTCCAACTGGATATTTCTTGTTTATTATTGCTACCTTGACCATGGAGCCCTGCATGTGCAAAAATGGCGCCAGAGGAGTACCCAGTGCGTTAAAAAGTGACACCAAGGGTGAAACAGTGGTGCCGTTACCGTCCTGTTGTGTACGCAAGCGCACCACACTTAATGCCTTTTAAACATGGCTGTGTTTATTTACATGTCGCTGCTGATTGGGTAACACCTCTGACACATGAACCAAACGACACTGTTTTGAGGAAGCATGTTATTCAGCCCCGAAACCGTAGCAAACCGTGCATAAAGTTTTGAGATTAAACTTGCCCCAAGTGTTGATTTACCACGAGTTGAGAGTGAAAACGTGTTGTTTACAGTTAAAGAATTTGTACCACACCATTTATAGTGTCACTATTCCAAGACTAATAAATGAGGATGGTTGTGAATGTGATAGTTTTTTTTTTATTTCCAACGAGTAATATTACTGAATTTGTTCAAAATTAATAGGAAAACATCAGTTTAAAATGAGTAATGGTGCAACTCTCTGATGTTTCCAAAAGGCAATAAAAAGAAGATCCGTTTGTACCAGTTCCTGTTGGACCTTTTAAGGAACGGCGATATGAAGGACAGTATCTGGTGGGTTGACAGAGACAAAGGGACATTCCAGTTTTCTTCCAAACACAAGGAGGCTCTTGCACACCGCTGGGGAATCCAGAAGGGAAACCGCAAAAAAATGACCTATCAGAAGATGGCCCGTGCCCTGCGCAACTACGGCAAAACTGGAGAGGTGAAAAAGATAAAAAAGAAGCTGACATACCAGTTCAGTGATGAGGTTCTGGGGAAGAGTCATCTGGAGAGAAAACCATATGTGTAGGCAAGAGTAATACTGAAATGTCAAGATTTACTCGTGACAAGTGTTGACATTGGAGTAGTTTGTGTAGTTTCTGGTGTTAGATGCTTGATCAACCTTGCTGATCTGGTATATAGCATTTTGTGAATAGCCCCATTATTGCTGTAAAGTGGGATCAGTCTTTTGAAGATACTAGCCAATGCAGCATAAAAGCATGGAACAAGAGACAAAATCCCCAAAGACTCTATGTAACAAGATGTTGGAGACCAGCTTTTTCTTTTCTTCTTTGTCACCCTAAGTAGAAACAAAGCTCAGTTTGGTTTGTCTGTCTTAATTCCTGGAAGAAAAAAAAATTTAGTAGCAGTGTGGAAACAAAGTCAGGACCAAATATGAAAATGTACCTGTTATTCGAAAATGTGTACAGGATTTGTGAAGTTGAAAAAGTGTTATAAATATCTTCTGAATTTTGTCCCTTTTGGCTCCCTCAGATTTGAAAAAGCTCCCTTAGACATATATACTATACATATATATATTATGACATATGCAAAATCTGCACTCTTTACCCAGCCAACCTACCAGGCAGCAAGCTACTTTGTAGTGCAGCAATTTCGACATGGTGGCTAGAGTTGGAACTGCAAGGTATTTGTTGCTAGGGTTCAGGAGGACATGTGGAATGCAAAACGATTCAACAGCACCACAAACTATAGTTTCATCAAAAATTGGTTATAGCTGTCATGCAATTCTGTTTTATTGCAGGGATGTTGTAATAGTTTTAGCTATGTGTACCTAATAAACTGGCAGGTATGAGGCTGAGGTATTAGCTTTAAATCAGAAAAACCACTACTGACCAACATGAACATATAATGATAGTGCTCAGTTTTAGAGCTCAGTATTTTAACAAACGACACTGGTTTTAAAATCTCTGTTCACATGTCAAAATCTGATTTTGACATGTGAACTTTTGACTCCAATTCTGTCTGAAAAATCAATTGACAGTTATGCGAAGATTGAAACCACTCTCATGAAGATACAGCAAATATAAAGTTATGGCAAGCATGGGTTTATCTTAGCATTAAGACTGGAAGAAGGAGGCAATAGATAGAACAGTGACGTTACATTTTGGCATCAAAGATACAATTTTGAATTTAAAGAAGAACCGGAATTGAAAAAGGAAACATTGGCAAAAAGTTGTATTGGCACTGAAAAAAGTCTTACTGAAAAAGAAAAATTTTTCAGTGTGATGTGTTTTTCAATGACAATCTTCAGATTTTTTCTTCATGTCACTCTTATTTTCAGTGTCACTGGTTTTCAGGTTCAACTTTCTGTCTTATTGACATGCACATTATATGACAGAAACTTCAGAGGACAGATGAGAGGACAGCTGGTTCTGGAAAAGTGAAGTTCTCTCCTTAGTGTGCAGATTATATGTAAATCACACTGTTCTTGCCCCTCCCCTCAGACCCCTCCTCTCCACTCCAAAACAGTGACAGAAAGTTGAAACTGAAAACCAGTGACCACTCATTAAAAAATTGCCAAACATATTAAAATTAAATCATTTTTAATGCCTGTGTTTTATTTTTACTTTTTTTAATGCCAAACTTTTGTGTCACTGTTATAGCCCCATAGAGAAACATCTAGCCTGGCTCGTCCCTAAGTTAACAAATTCTGTCCATCTGGCCTCCAAAGTTCACTAATAAACACATTATATCTCTTCTGTTTAATCTGTACAAAAATTGTCCTAGTGTGTTTGACTCTTCTTGTGTTGGACATGCTTAAGTTCTCTTTAAACAGTAGGTAAGACTACTGTATGTACATATTTCCGTTGCAATTTAATATTTAAAAAAGTCATTATGAAGATAAGACCATTAATGTGATTATTCACATGACACAAATGTTTTGTATACATACATGACATTGTTATGATTAAAAATGACTTGTAAAAAATAAATTGTTCATAAATATATGTGTGTTGTTTCTGCTGTGAAGATCTTTGGTAAGAGAACAATCCACATCAGAGGTAAAAGCAGAAGAAGAAGAGCTAAACATTGTATAAAGTTGTGTAGTGTTAGGTTAATAGATAAAGTATCTCACCTTTCATTAAAGCTGTAAAGATAACTGGTGAATATGAGGAACTAAAAGGTTAATGCAGGGCAAGGGGAAGAAATGGCCTGTCACCCTCTTCTTACATGTATCTGGCAACAACTACACTACAAGCACCAACTCTCTACTCATAGTGGGTGCACAAAGTGACACATCTGGAGTTTTTATCTTAATAGTATGCTATGCAGTGAAAGTGTCCAGTTTTTAGCTGTCTGAATTTTTAGAGACATACCGAGAGGCTCCAAAATGCCCATCAACTTCACTACCATCAAACCTCTCTTTAATTGGAAAAATTATTTACCACATTTCAAACTACTTTTACAGTTGAAATACAATAAAATATAACAAAACAACATTTAAACCTCAAATAATAAAAAAACATAAACACAAACACTGCAATACAAAAGAATATTATCTTTCTAAAATGTAATGAGTGTAGTATGCAAATATAAAAATACTTCAGCACCTGGTGTCCCAAGAGCCAACAGCTCCCCTCAATGGTCAAGTTGCAATTGATACCCACAACTAACAGGTGAGAAGATGAAAAGAAATGGCCTTGAATAGAATAGAATACCGTACAACTTAACCAGAGCTCGATAATCAGTCTTACATTACTGTAGATGCAATAAATAATATGAAAGCTATACAGTACATGGAGTATACCAGTACACTTGGGCATCAGATTATCGTAATTAATGGTGATGGTATCTTGTGTGGTGAAATGCTTACAAGTAAAATGGAAGGTGAAAATCTGAGTCTTTCTGTTTATCAGTGCATAGACTGAGCATGTTTGTTACTAGTAACATTACTTTTTATAAAGTGGCAAGCTGAGGAAATCAGTTGAAAGTGCTGATAAGGGGCTTTCACACGGTATCCCATTTATGTCTGTGGACTATAAAACATTTCTTTAAAATGTTTTAACTTTGAATAATTAATATTTCCATTCGTTTTCAGGCATATACACTACTTTTTTTATGAAAAGGGCACAAAAATAAACTTACATTTCTTACATTTGTGTGCTGTAGTTGTGTGTATAAACATAATTTTCCAACCTTGAACTGTTATAGCAATACATTTTGAATGATTATCACAAATTTTTTGGAAATGTGTGTAAAATTACACAATAAATACATTTTGGGTTCCTGGCAGCTTTATACTTTGTTAAATACACAAAATGATAGCTGAATTTGTGCTGGAAAAATTATACCATGCATGTGTCATGAGGACAGATGGTTTAAAATGTGATAAACAAAAATGAATGCAGGGTCTGCAAAAACTAAACAAAATAAATCTAGACGCCAGAGGGTTAATGTAACTTAATGGACAAAGACCTTGTTAATTAATCAAGGGAAAATGAACTCATATAGATAAAACAAGTACTGTGGCACTTTCATTCTCAACTATCCTCTTGTATTCATTCTTAGATTTACAGGGTGACAGGGTGCAACACAGGAGAGCAATTTTTTTTTGGATTCAAGGTTCTAAATTTAGCCTTAAATCCTTTCCCCTCCCTCTCGAGGCCTATCAGTCAACTGAGGTGTTGGAGGAAAGGATGGTTGAAATATAGACTTCGGTCAGACATGGCTTGGGGGGGATGGGCTGGGGGCAGAGTTGCTGCTGGGATGGGATGAGCTTTGATGGGGAGGATGAAGGGGGGTGGTTGTTGTTTTTTGGACATTGTGTGTGTGTGTATAAAAAAAAATGGCAGGAGAGATGGGATGGTTCACAAAGAGGAGGGGGAGAGGGGGGCACGTATTAAAAGCAGGGGGCTGAGATAGACAGCAGACTGTCTATGAACAGTGAGTCGCGCTGTGGACAAGAGGAGATCATTCAGGATGCCAGAGCCAGTCAAAAAAGCAGGTAAGTGTGCTCATTGAGCTACTTTTGAAAATTTTGTCATGACACATAAATTCATTATGGAAATAGACCATCTTAGAGTGCATTGTCTAAAAAAACAAACTTTTTGATATTAGTATGGTCCTGTTGTCAGACCACATGTCTATCTTCAGTAAAGTGGTTCATGAAAAAAGCAAACAGTACACATGACCTATTAATTTACCTACTCATTATTTTGTTAGCACCATGTTGCAACTGAATATCCAGTGGTGTTACTTTACTTGTATTGTGCAATCTTCTCGTTAACCAGAAACCTCTTCTAAGAAACAACCAATGTGATATTACAGTATCGGTGAGAATATTCTACTGTGTTGTGCCCCGCCCCTCTTAAGCAACTGTAAACCACAGCTAAACCACTCACGTGAGAGTGACTGTTTGCAAAATAATGTGACATTTACATTTTACATGTATGTACATGTATGTATGTTTTTTTTTTATTGTGTAACCATAGTGTTCTTTAAGTCACAATTTTTGTCATTTTGTCACAATTGAAAGCAAATGTTCAGCCATTTGCCAGTGTGTAAAATATAAGCTACCATATTACTTTAATTTACAGGTTAATTATTTCCAGACAAAAGCAACTGTAAAATAGAGAAACAAGATAACATAAAACAAAATCAACTTTTTTGATCCCACATAGGGAAATTGACGTCAAACAAGCAGTAGGACAAGCATAGATGCCTTGATAAGACATTTAAACTTTACTATACTACAAATTAGGCATGAAAAACAGTAAAAGGTGCAAAATCCTATATAAACCAAAAAAGAATATTAACTTTAAAGTGTATTGAAAACAAAAATGAAATTGTAAAGTGGGTTAAAATGTCCCGTGTCTGCAGATAGTGAATGCAGTTTAAGATTAAGTCAACACATACAATTCAAACACATGCCATGGCTAAATGAGTTGGAACTATTAGCTTGTGTCAAACTCACGTAGCAGTAGCCTAAATTACAACATACTACGTGCAATTATCCACCCTTGAACTCAGTTACATGTCACATGGGCCTGGTGGAAACACTGTCTGCTGTGTCACATTTTCAGCATCACTGCATTCACAAAACCACAGATCCAAAAGTGCCTGACAGGATTCCAACTTGACAAATGACTTTCCCCAGGTCTTTTTCCCTCTCTTAGGTGTAATGGATTGTTGTTTGTGGAGTGAGAAGCCCAACATATCTCATATCAGGTGACACAGTACAGTCCAAATGGCCAGCTTGTGCGTGCCAAGACTTTTAGCTTCAAGGATTTGTTAAGGACAATAAGTTGTGATCGTCTCTGCCTGTAGCTTTATTATCAATTATGATCAACACCTTGCAATCACAACATGTCCTTATACCTAAATGACAAAATAGGTTCATTGTCAGTTGTCCCAGAACGACATATATGATCGCTGGAAGGTACCAGTCCGGCTACAGGCATACTGGACATAAAGTAGATTAAGTCAAGTGACGTAAGTCACATGATGTTAAACATGTGGTTAACGTTGTAACAGTCACAGTTTGGTTAGGATTAGACAACAAAATTACTTGGTTAGGTTTAGGAAAAGACTGTGGTTTGGGTTAAAATAAGTATGTTATCTAATTCACGTGAAGTAAGTAAGTCATGTGACATAAGCCAATGGAACCTATACGGCCATTTTTCCGGTGAGGACGGACTATGCAATCATCAACTCGATCTTTTTCAGTGTTTTGAAGTATTTAAAAAACTTGGTTTGCTTTGCCAACTTAAATGTAAAAACTGTGTATTTTAAAGTGTCTATAATCAAATTTTTATGATAATTTATAAAATGACAATGTGAAAGGGGTTGCTAAAAGTGATGAACTTGAATCTGCAGCTCCACTTGGCTTTTAAGGAGCTTTATGAAAACTTTGAGCTCATTGTTTAGCAGTCCACCCTGCAGCTTTACTGTTTTGGTTCACTCTCAACATTTTCATAGTGTTGTTTTTAGCCAAAGCAGTCAATTATTTTTCAGACACATTTCGCAGCCAAAACAATGTTGCAGGTTTAAGACACATTTTAATTAAAGGTGCTTTCATGTTGCATGATAAAAACAAAATAAGCGCCCACTCATGAAAACAGTGGCCTATAGCGCTACTAATGGTTAAAAACTCCACAAGGTACCTTTAAAACACGCTATTAACTAAAACAATGCAGATTTTTAATTGATAAAAATAATACATGAATAAATAATATAATAAAATGTTAATTGAAAATGAAAATGAAGTACATAATTACAAAAAAGAAAGTCTTGAAAACTACATTAAGTCATAGAAAGATTAGACTTTCTTTTTGAAAAGGTTAATATTGCATTGATTAGCACCAACCATCCAATAAGTCATCCCTAAAGTAATGATATCAGTGTTAAAATGCCAGCTCTCTTCAACATGTCAGCTGACTGTCAGTGAAATTAATCTGAACAGTATCTTGTATACAGACAAAGACATTCCAAATAAATATCTGTTGTCTGTCATATTATGGCTAGACTACCAAAAATAAACCTATACCAACACGAATTTATGTTCTTAAATTAACAAAGTTGTTGAGAGTATACCAGCAAGATATTTCCTGAGTGTGAACTCTAATTTAATTAAATATCTAAATAGGAGAATTTAATTTAACAGTGTGGTATTATTAGTAATTTCACTGCCAGTCACTACAAACAATTTTGAATGAATTTTACATTAACTAAGATTAGTTAAGTCATTTTACCTTAAATGCGATAAAGGTGTGAAAGGTAAAGCAGAATGAAGGATTGACAACATGAAGAGAGCTCCATCGTACTACTGCTGGCTGCAGACAGACTGAAGGCACATCATTCTTTCTGTGCCTCTAGAGTCACAAAAATACTCAAGTTAATCCCTCAACTATGATACCTGCACCCCTGTTGCAGCTGAAGGCTGCCAAGACTGCTCATTCAGTAGTCCGGTACATATGCATTCTATATTTAAATTAGGGTCATCTTGCAGCAAGTGGCGTTTCTTTTGTTTAGTGTGGTTTTGTAATGCTTTGTTGAACCGTGCAGGACTTAAACCTGGAAATAATAAGCCCCTACATTTTGCCTGCTTACATTTCATGGTCCCAAACACCTGGTGTTACTGTTAAACACATGTCTACTTCCAGGGCTGTCAGTTACACTCACTATTTTTAGGTCCTTTTCAAAGACGACAAGTGTTTGAAAAGGACATTGCTGGGCACTTTTTATATCTTTTCAAAAAAAAAAACCTCACACAACAGGAAAGGCAACAGCCGGTGGTTTTCCACAATGAATGTAAAACTTTGTTAAACTTAAAATCAACACTTTTTGATAGACACCATGTATTGATTTCCCCCCATTTAGGATCACTACCCATGCCTGTTACTACTATTTATATGTGTAGATAGTTCTGTTATTGTGTGAAGTTTGTTATAGATGTTCCAGATAAGACTCTGACCACCGTTGGTTTGGCTTTGGGCTGTTCCACTCAGCACCACAATCAAAAACAAAAGCTAATGTTTTGACTGGATGTGAATTCATAAATGTGAATGGACTTAATTGGACCACTTGATCAGGATGACAGGAGGGATGGATACAGTGTGTGTGCTACGGCTATTGTTCATCCTGTAATGACCAACATTTTTTTAGGCAGTTCTGGAATGTGACTAAGTACATTTACTCAAGAACTAAGCTATGATTGATTGAGACATTACACTACTGATCTACTGTACTTCTTTTTAGAGGCTAATATTGTGCATTTTAATTCACTATACCTTTCTGACAGCTGTAGCTACTAGTGCCTTTGCCCATTAATAGTTTACATATATTCTCATCTTATAAATTATAATGCACTGTTATAGATTAAATAACCATTTAATATATAAATTACTTAAAATTTGCTCCACATTAAAAATACACACAATTAAATGCTGTGTATTTGTTTATCAGTGATAATAATCCAAATATACAATAGAAAGACATTCTGAATAGGGGTTACTCTGCATTATGAGTACTCTTTATACTTTAAGTACATCTAGCTGAAAATGCTTCTGTACTTACTTAAGTAATGCTCTGTATTTGTATAGCACCTTTCTAGTCTTTTCAACCACTCAAAGATAGATAAATAAATAGATGGATAGATAGATAATAGATAGATATGTGACCATGTGACTTCATAAATATGACTTATTAGAAAGCCAGATGTTTGTGTTATCACATTCTGTGTGGGAGCGGGAAAAGGCAAATTTTAATGTTTTCATTTAGCCCCACCCAGTGTGCTGCACACTGTACAACACTGTACTTTTTCAACATGAGCAGCTCTGCTCAGCTCATGAGCCTTTTCTCCTTTTGCTGAATGCCCTATGCCTCTTCTCTACCCCTCTACCTCTCTCTCATCTTTTCTCTCTCTCTTTCTCTGCCTTCTCCAGTCATTGGCTTCTGTTTCACAATGGATGAAAAGTTTGGGGGGAAAACAATATTAACATTTATCTGGATCTGTTATTTCTTTTAACAAAACTCTCTAAGTGCAAAGATTCGCCTACTCTTACCTGTTATTTGTTTTACTCACAGTGTAATGACACTCACATCAATATCCACTCATCAAGACAATTACTGTATCTGTGTTTTCTCCTCAAGAGGATTAGATTACACACTAACAGCAGACATGTTAAAAAACAGTCTAATAGACACTTCAAAATGCTTACTTTTTATTTTGAACCCACCCTCCCTCTCCAGTTTCAGCATTTGCCAAGAAACCAAAGACTCGGGAGGCAGAGGAGGGCTCCTCTGTGGTCTTTGAAGCAGAGACAGAGAAGCCTGATGCTAAAGTAAAATGGCAGTGCAACTCAAAGGACATTGCTAGTGGCAACAAATACGTGATCACAGCCTACGGAAACAAGCACACCCTCACTATAAAAGCCATTACCAAGGAAGATGCCAATGTCTATGGAGTGATTGCTGGGGGGTCAAAGGTCAAGTTTGAGCTGAAAGTTGTATCAAAGCCAGGTGGGAGACTTTGATGCTACAGCTGTGTGTTTGAGGTGTCTGCTTGCTCACCTGCGAGGCTGCTGGTCGACACAGAGCACAAAGCAAAACGAAGCACTCAATGCAGAAAACCACTGAGGCAGTAAATACTTGATGCACTGCATGCACATGATGTTTCTGCACATAAAATCACCCTCTGCACTCTCTGACAGCTGCTCAACAGCACATCTCACAAACAGCTTTGAGTGGTCTATCTGAAAAGGAATATTTTAAAGGAATTGTTTGACATTTTGGGAAACATGCTTATTAGCTTATTGCAGAGAGTTAGATGAGAAGATCGACACCACTCTGATGTCTGAACTGTAATTTCAACCAGGAGACTATTAGCCAATCTTTGCATAGAGACTGGAAGTAGGGGTAAACAGCTGGCTCTGTCCAAATGTAACAAAATCCAACTACAAATGCACCTCTCAAGCTTAATAAAGACTTAATCACTGGCCTAATCACATGTTCAGCAGTTTATCAAATCTATGGAGCACTGCACTGTATGTTGGAATGACTGTGTGCTAAGTGTGTGACAGAGCAACATTTGTGCCAGTCTGTCAGTGTGACCTGTTGAGGTCGTTTGTTTGGGTTTGATAAGGTGGAAACAAATCTTTAAGAAAGGCTGCAGACTAATGGGCCCAGTGTGCTACAAGAGACTGCCCACAGCTGTCTGTGGCTCATATCATAGCAACCCTTTAGTTTGTCTGAACAGCGACCTTGACCCTCACACCGGCACATTATTTCCTCATGAGTAACCACCACTTGACTGGCGCTCAGGATAGGCATGAGAGGCAGCTGATAACGCATGGAAAATCAGCCGGCTGTTTGAAAATGATAAGACATAAGAAATATTTGGGCGATGAATGTTTGCCAAAGAACATTTTCACTCTGTCAAAACTGTGTTTAAAAGAATATCAATTAGATTAAATAGTATAAATGTAAAAAAAAAAAAAGAAAAGTGTCTTCATATACAAAATATGAATGTGTTAAGTCCTTCTCACAAATATGAATTAAATTTGTTAGACTGGTCACTTGCTTTTTGGAGTGGATTTCTCTTTAGTAGATAGTGTATGTGTATGTGGGTTTTTCATTGTCCCTTTAACATGTGACTTGTTATCTCTATGGAGATGGTAACACAAGAGCTCCAGTTGCCCCTGCTGATGGGCCGGGGGAGTCCAGTGCAGAACCAGAGCAGGCCCCAGCTCCACCTGCAGCAGCACCCACAGAGGACCAAACTACTGCCCCAGCTCAAGATGCTCCTCCAGCTGAGGGTATTTAAGTCCCCACATTTGTTCATTCAGTCACTCATTTACTCCTTTGTTTAGTCATTAAGCACTTAATCAATTAGTCAAGAGTCCATCCTCTTATAACTTTAAATAGATTTCTCTTGCCTTTGTATGTAGTGTAAGAAGTCTCTCTTAATGGATTTTCATACCCTATTCCCTATCCAAGGTGTCTTGAATTACATAAAAACTTGATAAATATCTTAAAACGTCCCTATTGCTCGAAGCTCATGATATGCTGGTTTTCATTTCCTGGTCTGATTTCTAACATGCTTTTGAATTTAACATTTTAATCCTCAACTTCGTGCTGTGGCACTCTGCTCTGAACCTGTTGGCTTTTCAGACCCCCAGCCTCCAGATACAAGACAGGACCTGACTGGACTCTTTACAGAAAAACCACAGAGTGGAGAGGTCACTGTAGGTGAGTGGCTTCAAATACATGAATTCTTTTAATACATAATAATAAAATAACATCAGTGTTAGTGCAATTTTGTTATTTATTTTGCAGCTAAAACACTGAAGTGCGAAAGGTATTGGGAAATGTGAAAAGAAGCAATGGAAATTCATGAGTATAACTACTACTACTTCTACTTCTACTTAGCTCTATATCTGCCTGAGCCAACTCGACTTTCCCCTATGAGGGATAAATAGAGTAGCATCTTATCTTATCTTATCTTATCTTGTGGAAATTATTTTAAGAATATTTTACTGGTGCTTTTTTTGAAAACTACCATTTGTAACAAATTGTTAATAAACTGTTTTGTTAAATGTACATGTACATGAATGAAAGTGATAAAAGTTATCGATATTTATATCCATAGAGATATAGCATGACACTGAATGTATAAAATGTGCACGTAATGTGCTGATAATTTGTAGACTTTCATCACAGAATAAACAAAATAACAGCAAAACCTCAAAGATAAACCACATGCCAAATTGTTCTTCTGTGCAGGTGAAAACATCACGTTTGTGGCTAAAGTGAATGCTGAATCATTGCTGAAGAAACCAACCATTAAATGGTTCAAAGGGAAGTGGATGGACCTCGCCAGCAAGTCTGGAAAACACCTGCAGCTAAAGGAAACATATGACCGCAACACGAAGGTAATGTGACTTAATGTTGCAGACACTAAAGCAGAAACATAGACATAGCAGGGAAAGTATTTCATATTTTGATATAGAGCTTGTGACTAGATAACTGAGAAGGATATGTATTTTTTTCATAGGAATGAATACCATTTAACAACTGCAAAATGTCGTTTTACTTTGAGGCAACAAAGGTGTTGAAAGTCTTGCCTTTCTCACCCTGAGTTTTGCAAGCTCTTGCCTCAGTCCCTCATTCTGATAACATCATGAACCACAGGCACGCTACCTTAGAGGTAACGTTGTTGGGAGAATGTAAGACCTTACCCTACAAATTTCATCTCAGAATGTCAGAACAAGCTGGAGTGAGAAACCTTTGAAAGGAAGCTGTGCGGGGAAAATCAGAAGCCTACTCCATAAAAATCACAAATATGAATTTATAATGAAATGCAACATATGAATGCATATGAAGCATCCGTTTAACAAGGTTTTCAACTAAATATGTTCATTTGCCTCACTGTGTTGTTTACCCTTATCACATCTGTCCTCATGCATATGATTGCAGGTCTACACGTTTGAGATGCACGTTATCGGAGCTAAGGCCAACTTTGCTGGAGCTTACAGATGTGAGGTCACATCCAGGGACAAGTTTGACAGCTGTAATTTTGACTTGACTGTACATGGTGAGTGAGCCTATTGTCAGAATACTTTGTTTAACTTTGTTTGTTGTTGTGAAACTCACAAATATAATGTTTCTAATATTACCATTTCAGTCGCTAATATGATTTTGTTGTTTCACAATGATATTGGTACGGCTCTGCTTTTCAGAGGCTTCTGCTGCTGAAGGTTTGGATATAAGAGCAGCTTTTAGGCGCACGTAAGTTTAACAAGACTTTATTACTTTGTATAAAATACAAAATACCTTTGGCCACTTTAGAATTCATCAATGCTGATCAATTAGTTTCACAGTAGTTTCTTATTAAAGGTATCATCAGCTGGTCTCCTCACACATTTCACCAACAGTATCATACAGCTATAAAAGTCAAACTGTGTTTCTTTTCCTTACAGGGCTAAAGCAAACCCTTGTACCTTAGAAACTGAAATAATTGGTCAGTTACAAACAATATTCACTTTTAACTAATAGTTTTATATTATATTTACAGTAAGTGCTGAGTCAGTTTAATGCTATATCAGCCATCTAAGATATTGTTAAATATCTAAGTAAGTCATCTTAAATATCACGTCAGCAGCTATTGTGCTGTAAATGTCTTTTAAAGCTATGTTCCTCACCCGAGTTTTAAAATCTTTTAATCATTGTCTTATGATAAAAACACTGCAAAACTATATGTAACATTGAAAACTCCTAAAAGCCACAAAATCTGAATTTTAAAAAAGTATGCACAAGTGTACAGTGTGTTACAGTTTTTCTCAGTCATTTTGGTGCATTTCTCAAATCATCCTTAACATTTGCAAAACAGTAAGTGCATTTCTCGAAACAGGTAGTACAAACAGCACAACACATTGGATTACCTGCAAAAGCCCATAACTTGCTCAAAATCCTTAGTCTATCTCTCAAAAGCAAATCTTTATGTCATTGAACTTGTCAGTGCCATCAGAACGACAAGTCCTTGTGTCTTGTTTATGAACAAGCAAGTCAAAATGTTTAGCCATCTTGTCAATATAACAGTGTACTCTGTAAGTATTTTCTGATGTACATTTTGGCTAAGATTTTGATGACAATGATTGAAAATGCACAAGGCTGCACTTTTTTTGTATGGCATATATCACTTTCACCAGTACAAAGTTATACATTGCAGGAGAGAGGACAGGAATCACAGCTATGCTTTTACTGTTTGTACTGTAATTTGTTGACAGAGCATGTGATTGTAAGAAGAAAAGAAAGAGACAGGACTGTAGCATGGGATACACCCCTTTGGCTGATGTTCCGATCTTTTGTATCACAGATTCTCTTCCACATCACAACAGATATCTCAAAAATTCTAATAGACATGTATAGAATGTCTATCTATATATATATATATATATATATATATATATATATATATACACACACATATATATATATATATATATATGAAGCCCTAATCAAATCATTTTCTCGTGATTTCGAGATAACCATAATAGTAATTATAGTGTGATTTGTTGTATTTTTGGTTAGCTCACTTGGTAGAGCATAGGACTTATAGGTTTAAGGTTGTGTGCTCAATTCTCAATGAAGACTAAATTTTAATAAGACTTTTTTATATTTTTCATAATCCTCTTCAACAAAGTTCTTATGAAAAGACTGTTTCACATGCTCACATTACTGTGAAGCAAGTGCTGGACTCTGTGCTTTCTTGGTCCACATCCATCAACCTATGGACTTTTCATTTCCCCATCATTCCCAGGCAGAGACAGAAATTCCTTCTCATTCAGGGGAATCCATGTAACGTTACACATTTCCTGACGACTTTCGAAACCTTTGAAATAGCCGTCGGGAAATGTGTGATTGGATTCCCCTCAATCTCTTCATAACAATTTTGCTGAAGAGGATAATACACACAAAAGAAGAAAAAGAAAGTCAACAAGAACAGGAATCAAACTAATCAAACTAAGCCCGGTGCTCTACCAACTGAACTGACACCAGTAATTGCTTTGAAATTATCCTAAAGAAACGCCTGCCAGCCCCTGTATTCAGCTATGGTTTGTTATCTCGTGATCACGAGAAAATTAATTATCCCGTTCTCAGGGGAAAACAACATTCGTTTATATATATATATATATATATATATATATATATATATATATACATACATACACATTCAACAGAGACTGGTAGAATTCATTGTGATCAGCAGGGCATAAGCAATTGATAATGTAGGAAACAGCAGACAATTGTACATAATCATTTGCATCAGTCATTTCAAGTCATTTGCAATTTGTTTAAAACAATGAGAAAGTGCTTTTATGATGTGCGCAAGTGACAAGATGAATGTGGAGGTTGAACAATTAGTTTTGAGAATTTCAATTCTGATCTGAGAAATGCACCAAAGCGACTGAGAAAAACTGTAATGACTATTTAGGAAATATAAATGTATTTTTTTCTTCAGCCATTTAATGACTCTCAAATTAGTTTCTTTTTTCAATTAAGACAGTTATCAAGTGATAAAAAATGACACCAGTACAGTAAAGTCAGGTGTATTTAAATCATATTTTAAGCACCATCCAGTGTGCGTTACTCTACATTTCCATATATACTGTGTGGGCAGCATAGTGACGGGAACACTCAGATTCATGAAGATAATTTAGATCTTAACGGGCTGAAGAGGTTGTGCAATAGTGTCCAATGGAATTAAAGAGTTTTAAATTTTTTACAGACACAGTTGCCAAACTTCAGTGAATGATTATCATGTTTTGAGTTACAAGTAACTGTGGGAATGCTAACTTATTAGGAATGAAGGCGCTAAGAAGAGAAGTGGACCACAAACAAGGTAGTAAAGGGGTTTGTTGCAACAATGGAGGCTCCATTCATACTCTGAGGACTTTGATTGTTAAAGAACAGACAAATCAGGACCAGGATCAGAGACTCTTTCTCTCTCTCCTGTGGCCTGTTTCTTCTCTGTCTTAAATTAAAACAGAACCAGTGTTGTGGATGGTGCAGCCTCCAATCTGTTGGATTTTGAGAGAATGACCACAGAAAAAAAGACTGTGAGAGAGCTAAGAGGACTCAAATTCTAAATCCTGGGTATAGTCTCTAACTATCGTAGATGTCACTGTGTTAACCTTAGACTCAGGCAGATCTTGATCTTGAGATTTGGTTATTAAACTATTAATTAACATGCGCTGGTTGCAGCCTTCAGCTCTCTCTGATCTACTCTTGGGTCTCAATCAAAACAGCAGATCAAGCTGCACAAACAGCTACCCGGCAAAGCGAGCTTTGACGGTGGTTTGATCGCACTGAAAGTGCAGGATGTGCTAAGACTGAAAGGCTTTTCAGTTGTTGAGCTCTTCCACAGGGTTGCCACATAGAGGAAACACAGCTATGGTGTGTTGTAACGTCACCACATAAACCAAGCACACAGTCCAATCTCTGCCCATGTATTTCATCCCACTGATTTGAGTCAAGCAGACACTACTGTGACCGTTGTTTTCTTTAAGCTTGAGTGTTTTGTGTTGTTCTTGCTTGGATGACTACTGCTGCTCATGGATTAAAAGAATAGTTTGACATTTTGGGAAATGTGCATATTCACTTTCTTTTCCAGAGTTAGATGAGGGGATTAAGACCACTCTCACATCTTTGTGTTAAGTTTGAAGCGTTGGTATTTGATGCCCTGGGATGAGACCATGCTCGATTAGCCTAGCAGGACTAGAAGCAGGGGTAAACAGCTAGCCTGACTCTCTTTAAAACAGGTGCCCTGGTAGCCTTATGGTTAAGGTACACACACATAATCACGCAACGTGTTCCTTTGATTGATCCCCCTTGCTCTCTCTACCCCCTTGTCTCTGAATTTGTGTTAAACAAATTAGATATACTGCATCAATTAGCGGACCTGGTTGGCAGATTTATAACTTTGAGCCAGGCTTCCTGTTTACCCCTGCTTCAAGTTTACTGGCTCCATGGTAAACACACAAACATAGAGTTGTATAAATAAATAAACCTTTTTCCCAAAAGGTCGCACCGTTCCTTTAAACATGGCAACACCTGTCTCTCCAGCAAAACATCTGCATGTTCATTCATGTATTTTATGCATAAAACCACTCATTTTCGTTGTGTAGAGTGATACTGTCCAATCCAATTTCTCTTCGTTAATCTTAGCTTGATTTTAGTGTTTAATATTTCTGTTGTTCAGTACCACTCAGTATCCTTCTACACATGCTTATTGGACGAGTAAACAGGAAAATAATAATATTGTGGATAAGCCAAGAAATGAAAAGAAAAGTATTAACATTGTTCTTTTCTTTGGATAAAGTATACAAGTAGTCTTCTGTGCTGTTAATTTTGATGTTGTTCTGCTGGTGGCTAATATTTCTGCAGTAGTACAGATGGAAAGGAAGATTCAGGAGAGCTGGACTTCAGTACCTTATTAAAAAAGAGGTAAGCAATTATAAAATAGTGACTGTCATTTGTAGACTTTCAGGATAAGGTAACAGCAGTTTTTCCACTTCTTATTATCTAACTGTGTCTCACTTTCATTCTTTCTGGATTGCCCTGCATCTTCAGAGAGTAAGCTGCTTCTGCATTTTTAAACTAAAAGTTGGAATGATAATACTTACCTTCACACACATAAGCCTGAACCTTAACTCACAATGCACAATGATAATTTAGGGTGATGTGATGTGTCCAATGTGTCAGGATTTTAACTTGAGGTTAATGAGGTTTGGCATCCTTTTGAGTTCAAAAGCATCTTCAAGTTATTTAGTTTCTCTGCCAGTCAAAATACAGTGTACTGTCACATTGAAATATACATACAGCAATTTAAGTCCTGAAAATCCAATTGCCCTTTCTTATCTCACTTTTATTATCACACTGACCCCACAATTAATCATGTTATCACTAATATTGATTTTTTTTTGTCTTGAAGGGTGTTTTACTCAAACTACAATGACTCGAACAGCAACACTTCTTTAATACCTATCAAGCATAGAGTTTCTGTTGTTTCTTTTGATCATCGATTCACCCGATGAACTCTCTTTCTCTGACTTTACTCAAAAACACAAGTCACCTTCAAAACACATCACTACACATTGTGTATCACACTCTATTGCCAGATTTGTATTGTCCGCTGTGCATAAGAAACAAGAAACAAAGAATAATGATTAGCATATGACTTTAACTGACCTTGTTTTTTGGGCCTGGATGTGCTGGCTTCACTGCAGTTTAACCACTGGTATAATACATAATTGAGTTTGAAAGGGAATATTTCTAATATGCTGATCGTGTTGCTTTTGGAATGCTGTGATTTGACTTGTCTGGTTTGTTTTGCTATATTTGCCTCTTGGGTTCTACCTCTGAATGAGCAGCAGTTTCTTAAAATCCTCAAATCGGTAAGAAACTGCTGACATGCTGCCTTGGTATAGAAGGAAAACTTTGTTGTGCATGCATCTTCATCTGTCAGCATTTAGTCATCTAAAGTTATGTATTTATTTACGGGAAAAACAACAGTTTATTGTATCATTTCATAAACATTATTAAAGATGTAACAATAATTAAAATGATAATAATTAATCAATAATATGCCAATACAAAGAAATGCATTGTTTTCTAATTTATATCATAAATTATATAGTAGAAATGTGCATACAAATCAGTCAATCTGTTTTTACAGATGTAAAAACGTACCCAAGAGTTAATAAAATAGCGTAAGTCAACTATTTTCATTATGCTTCTGTACTTTTACCGAATCAAGATTTTTATTTTACTTGTTTTTGAGTATTTTGACACTGCGGCATTGTTACTTTTACTTAAGTACAATGAATACTTCCACATCTGATAGTGGTGTGTGTTTCTTGTTGCATCTAAGCTTGACTGAACAAGTGAGTAAAATGTTTTTTTTTTCACATCACCTGCCTTGTTTTCAGTCCTCTGCATTTTAGAGAACATGTAGTAATGCACAGATCTTGGAATCAAATGTTAGGTGAAAGCTGTTAGGTGATTAGGGCACCTAGTGGACAGGTGTGGTAGAAACACATAAACTAGTGAGAGGGAGAGAGGAGGAGGAGGACTTTTTTGAAGTGCAGGACCACACAAAATAACAAATGGCTGTAAGATGAAAGGGAAGAGGTATAAATCAGCATTATCAAAACCAGGCATTTATATTGTAAAATGTTTGGCTCATGCAAGAAATGAAAATGTTTGTGTGGAAAACACAGTGTAATTAGGTAGAATAAATAAAATAAATAGAACAAAAATAGTTAAGAATAATTAGTTTTTAGTTTACATGATCAACCTACTGACCATTTTAAATACTATAAATTAGTAAACAATGTATGAAGTTGACTAATCATCAGTTGCTTTTTAGTTATTCATTATTGTTGTAATCATAAAAAATAAGTGATAATGAGTAGTCATCTGTTAATGAAGTATTACCAAATGTTACTAACTGCACCTCTCTTATAGCCTACTTCCTTTAGTCCATATTACAGTTTTTCTCATTTGCTTTGGTGCATTTCTCGAATCATCCTTAACATTTGCTAAACAGTAAGTGCATTTCTCGAAACAGGTACAACACAGTGGTTTACCTGCAGAAGCCCGTAACTTGCTCAAAATCCTTAGTCTATCTCTCAAAAGCAAATCTTTATGTCATTGAACTTGTCAGTGCCATCAGAACGACAAGTCCTTGTGTCTTATTTATGAACAAGCAAGTCAAAATGTTTAGCCATCTTGTCAATATAACAGAAGGAGAAAAAGAAAAGAAAGAGACAGGACTGTCGCATGGGATACACCCCTTTGGCTGACATTCTGGTCTTTTATATCACAGATTCTCTTCCACATCACAACAGATATCTTCATCAATTCAGGTTTACACATTTACAAAAAAATTCTAATAGACATGTATAGAATGTCTATCTATATATATTACTGCTCACTGTGTATTGTTACTGTTTACTGGTATTGAGTATTGGTATGAGTGTTGCTATTGTGATGTTGTTGTGGTCTATTCTTACTTTGTTTATGGTCCTTAAGAAACAACATTTAGTTTAGATATATACTTGTAGGCAAAGGATATGGATAAAGTATTTTAACTTTGATTTTTGATAACGTGTTCAACCATTTTGCATGTAGTGACTAATGCAATGAACTTATGCCTAGATGTTTTGGGGGGTAAGATTATTCAACAGAGACTGGTATAATTCATTGTGATCAGCAGGGCATAAGCAATTGATAATGTAGGAAACAGCAGACAACTGTACATAATCATTTGCATCAGTGTGTCAAGTCATTTGCAATTTGTTTAAAACAATGAGAAAGTGCTTTTATGATGTGCACAAGTGACAAGATGATGTGGAGGTTGAACAATTAGTTTTGAGAATTTCAATTCTGATCTGAGAAATGCACCAAAGCGACTGAGAAAAACTGCAATAATGCAAATTGTAAACTCTGTGGTTTTAACATATTTTCTCTGGGTGGTTTACATGGATTAGTGCTGTGCAGGTGAGTTCAGAGCCTGACCTGGACGTGTGGGAGATTCTTAAAAATGCTCCATCTTCAGAATATCAGAAGCTTGCTTTCCAGTATGGCATTACTGACCTGAGAGGCATGCTGAAGAGACTGAAGAAGATGAAGAAAGAAGAGAAGAAAAGTGCAGGTTTGTGCAGACCTTATAATAAGATCTGATTTTAACCAAATGTGAAGCATAGACCTAATTGTTACTGATTATTGTATGTCTAACCTTTCTGAAACGTAGCTTTCCACAAAAAGTTGGATCCTGCTTATCAAGTGACTAAGGGACATAAAATAAAACTGGCCGTTGAGGTCGCCAATCCAGATGTTGAGGTGAAATGGCTGAAGAACGGAAAAGAAATTCAACCAACTGGAAGGTTAGAATTTAGAAAGAAGATAGATAGATAGATAGATAGATACATACATACATACATACATACATACATACATACATAGACATGATGTGCCTGTGCATGAAGCATTCAACAAATACAGCAGCAATCCTTGATTAAGTTTGTGAACTTTTTCTCTTTTCTCTCTGTTTCTCTTTTGCACCTGCTTTTATCAATATATGGATGAACTCCATCCTTGTTTTTTCATTACATCACTAGCAAGTAAGTGTCCAAGAGCAAATTATTTTCACCTACATGTTTTCAACTTGTCTTAGAATGAATCTTTCTGAAAAATTACGTATATGCCACAATACTGTACTTTATAAAATACTGTATTAAAAACTTAAATTCCTACTATATATATATTGTGTAAAAATCTTCCTGGTCTTTGTCAAGGTTCATCTTTGAGAGTGTTGGCAACATGCGCTACCTCACCATAAACCACTGCTCCTTGGCTGACGATGCAGCATATTGCTGTGTGGTGGGAGAGGAAAAATGCACCACTGAGCTTTTTGTTAAAGGTATTTAAAGTTTTTAGGACAATTACAACATAAAAAATACAGAAAATATAAATGATCAAGATTAAGAATTGCGGTTCAATCTTCATCTGTCATCTGTTTTCTGCAGAGCCTCCGGTCCTGATTGTAAATAATCTGGAGGATCAGATGGTCATGAAGGGTGAGCGGGTGGAGTTAGAGTGTGAAGTCTCAGAGGAAGGAGCCAATGTTAAATGGTTAGATTTTCTTCTTTATACTCACAAATCAGCTGTCTGTTAGGAGCTCCATTATCATCATATTGGATCATAAATCCCTATGGTAAAGCTGCCAGCCATGCAAATCAAACTAGCAAAATGTACCCCATAAAGGTTCAGTTACAGTAGTTAGGTGTTGTTGCTGACATACTAAAAACAATGGCTATAAAATCAATGAGCCGTGGTTGGATTGACAAATGATAAATGTTAACTACCACCAAATCAAATCAAAACAAGTAGAATTAAGCTACTTTTCAGTCACTTGCAGTGCCCATCACTAAAGCCACCCAGCAGATGGCATTTGAGCTTGTCATGTAAACATACAGGGCACTGGCTCAGTGACATACTGTGGCATGTTAATTATCACCTCAATGAAAAGATCACCTCAGCATTGTCCTGAAGGAGACATTTCGGCAAAAGCGTATGGGCTTTTATTAAAAAATCTTTGCACAGTATCAGTGATAAATCTAATATACTAAATATATATAAACCTACTATATCAAGTAAACCACTTCTCTAGGGTGTTACAATTATGTATCTAGTCCAAGCATGGGTGTCATATGATGTTTGAAATATCTACCAGATCATTAAAGACCTGCACCGACGTTTAAATACGACCATTAATCAAAATTATTTTGGTTGCTGTGTGAATTTCTGTGCAGGGAGAAAGACGGTGTGGAATTGACAAGAGATGAGTCTTTCAAGTATCGCTTCAAGAAGGACGGGTGCAAACATTTCCTGATCATCAATGAGGCCACGAAGGAAGACTGCGGACACTACAAGGTTAAAACAAATGGCGGCGAGTCCATGGCTGAACTCCTGGTGCAGGGTGAGTGTCAGTCATGCGTGTGATGAGTACAGTATGAACCACTTTTGTGAGTGATGAACACACATGAACAAGTGTACATTCTCATACCCCAGCAATAGTCTTGTGGCCTTGCCACTCCTGGCATGCTGTCTATTTTTGGGATATAGTGTCTCTTGCCATTGCCTGCATCATTCTGACAAGGTTACTGCAGTGTACGCAAGTCCAAATGCCAGCTAAAGTTAGAAGACGTGGACCATATTTCACCTGAAGGACACAGGTCTGCACAAGTGACATTTTTTCTCTCTGTGGTCTTTGTTTCACCTGTCTTTGTTTTCTGTATTGCTGTTACGTTTCATTGATTTAATCTTTCTTAAAATAATGTGTCACACTTTCTCTATAGGTACTTTCCTTATACTCATATTTCTTTTGCTTCTATGTGAGTAGAAAATTAAGTCTTTATTTTTTAAGAGTAAGTTGAGGTTTTAAAGTATGTTTTATTACTAGACTTCCCTCTAGTACCAAGTAACAACAGCATGGTGATGCCGATGAAAGATCTGCACTCAGATTCTTACATAGCAGTCAGATTTTGAAATTTCTTCAAAAACTTGATGGTTTTTAGTATATTTGAGATGTAGCATGTTTTGCAGGTTAATTTCAATCCACAGGTGATCTAGAAATGATTGGTGAGGACGGTTCAAATTCATCCGCTCATGGATGTAGGCAAAATATAGACACGAATACCCCAGCTAGTTTCACTCTCTTTTTTTTCACTACCTAGTATCCATTTCATGTGAGCGTTCATTATGAACCAAAAAAACATTTTAATCATCTCATGACAGCCATCAATGACCTTTTCTGTGTTTTCCCGTAGAACCAAATGTGTATCCCAGGGGTTGTTGTGTGTAGCTCTAAACCTGACCTTTGTTCCTGCTCTCGGCCCAGTTAAGTTTATCTGGCCTGTTAATTGAACACAGAGCCTGCCAAGAATTACCAACTGCCATCATGCAACTGGGATCAACACCTCAGTCCACAGCAGAACTCCCATTATAATGCCATTCCCACCTTATTTGCCCCCACTGGCAGCCAGCCGACATAAAACTCCTGCAACCTTTTCAAGGAGCGTGGTGTGAGTTATCTCGCCCAGATAACAATTTCTTTGGGACAACTTTAATAACTCCTGTGTACGTTATTTCTTGTACAGTAATAGCCTGAAGATCCTGGTCTTCATATCCTCCCACTTTATTTTGTACCATGAATGCAATTAACTATATCGCTTGTGTCTGTTGCTAAGATACAACACACAAAGCCCACACAAAGATAATAAACAGCTCACTCTCGAACATATTATTACCATATTATCCTCACATACAGTAGCTGCATCTCTTTTTTTTTATCACATTAAATTCACACACCATCATCTTGTTGCATCTTTTTCCACCGTCTCATACAGTAGCACCTACTCTGAAGTCTGAAGGCCTGAAGCCTGTGTTTTTCTGACTGTGTAGAGAAAGAACTGGAGGTATACCAGAGCATTGCAGACCTTACTGTGAAGGCAAAGGATCAGGCGGTGTTTAAGTGCGAGGTGTCAGATGAGAGCGTGAGGGGAACCTGGTACAAGAATGGTGTAGAAGTCAAGTCTGATGCCAGAATAAATATCACACATATTGGCAGGTGAGGACACTTTTACACGTGTTAAATATACTGCATGTATTCTGTCCCGCGAACTAAAGTTTTGAAAACTTTCAGGATCCACAAGCTGACCATCGATGACGTCAAACCAGAGGATGAGGGAGACTACACTTTTGTGCCAGTTGGCCATGCGTTCAACCTTTCTGCCAAACTCAACTTCTTGGGTAATATTGACACTGTTACTTTTTAGCCTCATAAGTGAAAATTATACTTTTTTTTCTTAAAGATTTACACCTCTCTTTTCCCTAGAGGTGAAGATCGATTACGTGCCACGTCAAGGTACGGCAAAATTACTCTCTTGTAGCATGCAGCCTAAACCAGCTAAAATGCAAGGGTACTTGTTCATTTGAACTCTTTCTCTCATTTTCTAAGATCCTCCTAAGATCCACCTGGACTGTATGGGTCGCACTGCCGACTCAACCATTGTGGTGGTGGCCGGCAACAAACTGCGCCTGGATGTTCCTATTACTGGAGACCCTGCTCCCACAGTGGTCTGGACCAAAGGAGAAAAGGTAAAACTGACAATTAGACTTGTGTTAGTAATCAGCAACACACCGTCTGACATCCACCACAGTGCGCACTGTAGGTGAGGTCTGAAATCTGAGGCTTACTGTAAAAGCAATGACTAATAATCAAACATTAACAATATACTTGAAAGCCTTACTAATGCTGCATGTAACATTCAAAAACAACGTTGGCATATTTAAACAATATGTGGTACAGTTCTAATATAATAAAAGCTAACAGGCTAACAGTTCTGATTCTGATTCACAGGTTAGCGCTGTATTGATGTTATGACACCTAATGCTTTCAGGCCTGCTGATACATTTGGCTGGGATACTAACATGCTTTAACCAACGTCAATCAATGATGCCTACCAGCACGCTGGTCTTTGAGTTGAGGAGGAAGCGAGGTCACAAGCCCTCTCTGTCCCCTTTGGCTTTTACTGCTTTGCTCTGCTCAAATGTAGGCTAGTTCTGTAAAACATGATGGAGAAGGGAGGAAGGGAGGACCAACATCCTCTTGGACCCTGAAGGATGGGGATGTAAGTCTGCATGTCCCGTACGAACATATGCCTGTTTGTAGTATTCTGGCTCTGAAATCTAAGTCAGTATATTGAGAGCATTGCCGTCGTGTCCTTGGAAAAAAAAGAAAACAATAAACTCACCTGTGGTGTACTGGATGCAGAAATGTAGCCAGTGGAGAAGTTGCAGTCTACATGCAATTCCCCCTGTGTTGCAATTGTGTTGCCACTTGAGTTGTGAAAAGATGATGTGCACAGCCATCAAAACAAATCAAAAGAATTGATCTTGAACTACTTGACTGAACAGTTTGTTTGTTATATTGATTTACTACTTTACCACCCTGGAAAAAGAACAAGCTGCAGCAGTAACAACAACAAGCAGATAAAAATAAGAAGTTCTCCACTGGCTTTCTCTGTACATGTGTGTTTTGCTTTTATGTCTCAGTTTCACATAGCACTAAGGTAAAAAAACTGCATGTGGTGTTACTCAGTATCGGCCTATGTCAGTAAGGTAAGAGCATGTTCTCAATCCTCCCACAGACAGAGACAGGTCAAAGGAAACTGGGCAGGAAGTATATTTTTTATGGCCACTTTATTAATTGACACCTTGAGTTGTGTGTTTAAATCAGCATGTGCTGCTGACTTTGAAAAGCATTATTTCCTTCAATAAACTTTGTGTTGGAAAGTGTTATGTTTATCATCTCTAGTGACAGTTACGTGATGTTTGTATGCCTCTACTACATCTACTGTACCAGCATCTTTACCTGTCATATGTGCAACAGAACTATCAATCAGTTAAGAGTGAGAGGAGACTAAAAGATTCTCCACGCACACAATCCAGTCTAGTAACTCTGCTCTGATACACGTAGATGGTCACCGAGGGAGATGGTAGGGTCCATGTCGAAACCACCAAAGGACACTGCATCTTCACCATCGAGGGGGCCGAGAGGCAGGATGAGGGAATCTACTCTGTTGTTGTTCGAAACCCCGCTGGGGAGGACACTGCAGATATTAACGTAAAAGTTGTCGGTAAGACAGAGCTCCACCCGTTCATTTTAATGAGAGCAGTTCAATCAGGACAGGAGAGTCTCAATTTGCATGAACAATTATTATTTGGCATGTGTACAATGAATATTAGAAATGTGAAAAGACTTAGAGCCCATCGTAATGATATGGTATTAAAAGGGGTGGTGAAGTCGTAGTGGTGCCCCGAGGGAGTCTAGAAATGCTAAAGATCTGGGTGTGATGAGGAAAGGACTTCTGCTGGGTTTAAACTGGGCCTGGGTCTGATGAGAAGGAGGTGAATGAATTAAAAAAATATGAAAAAAAACTGTGATTGTAATGTAATGTATTCCCCCAGATGTTCCAGATCCTCCCCAAGCTCTCAAAATCCTCAGCGTGGGAGAGGACTCCTGTGTTGTCCAGTGGGATCCCCCTCTGTTTGATGGTGGACAGCCAGTTATTGGTAAAAAACAAAAACACATTAAAATGCTTCATATGTTTTGAATTATTTGGAAATGGCATCCACCTTTATTGTCCTGACGAGCCCAGTTGATACAACATGGAAGCCAGCAAAATCATTTGCGTCCATTTTAATTCTCAGGCTATGTGCTGGAGAGAAAGAAGATAAAGAGCTACAGGTGGATGAGACTGAACTTTGACCCTTATCCTGAAACAACTTATGAAGCCAAGCGGATGATTGAAGGAGTGGCGTATGAGATGCGAGTGTATGCTGTCAATAGCATTGGCATGTCTCGTCACAGTCCAGCCTCACAGCCTTTTGTGCCAGTCGGTGAGTCCAGCAGGTTTAAACCAACTCTTATCCAACTTGCTTCAGTTCAGTTAATCATTTTCAGACATTTGCTCCACTGCATATTCAGTGAAAGAAGCTGTTTCCATAATAGATTATGCATTTATCAGTAGATGAAACAAAGATTCATATTTGTGAACTCGCTACACTACACTACCATGAAGATGTTGATTGATGATTTTTATCTGGATGATCGATGGTAGACTCAGATCAAGTTGACATATGTATCTTTTTTTTTTTTTTTTTTTTTTTTTAAACCTGTCCTGCCCAGCAGCCTGGTATAGAGTATAATGACCTGGATACCATATTGTGCCAGACAGATTTTACTTTAACAAGAGAGTATTAAAATACTCCTTTGTCTGTTTTATTATTTATTTAATTATGTATTGATTTGTCACCGGGCCGGACAGGGGGGCAGACACGGGATGGGGGGGCACAAACAGACAGCACAGAGAAAGGACAACACCTGCAAGAGAAGGGGGAAAGGGGGATGGAGGGTGGGGACAACAGGGAAAAGCTGTGGGAAACACCAATTGCAGAAAGCAACGAAACCTGCAAGAGAACAGAGAGGGGGGCTTGGGGAGGAGAAAAACAACAACAAACAAACACAAAAAAAAAAATAAAAATAATAATAATAGTAAAAGAAAACCAGCCGAACAGCAGCAATAAACAGCTGACATATTAATGACATATTAAGACAACTAAGAGAACAATGAAAACAAGAAACAGTCACACACACTAAATAAGCAACACAACACAGCCACGAGAGCTGGAATAATAATTAATTTAAATAAGTAACTGAAAGAAAGGCATCAGGAATAATTCTACCAGGGACAACCTAAGTTTGTTTGTGTCTGTGTGTGTCTGTGTGCGTGTGGGTGAATGTGTCTGTATGTGTGTGTATGTACATGTGTGTGCGCATAAGCCTGTTAAAGAATGTAGTTGTTAGAGAGAGTGGGACGCCACGACTGTAACAGGCAGGCAAGAACCCCAGTAGCCAATAGGGGTGGAAGAAAGAAAAAGAATAAATCAAATCAAAAAAAACAAAGACTCCCAGATGCACTGCGATGCAAACGCAGAAGACCCCGACCCAAATGCCAGTTGACAACGTAATGCCGACGGAACGCAAAGAGGAAGAGCAGCGCCCGGACCGACCGCGTCGCAGACACAACATAGACCAGTGGCCTCCCCCATCCAGCACCCCACCGCCGCGCAGCAAACAACCACAATGCCCAAATGCCACGCAATCATCAACACCAATGCACAAGTGACGAGCCCAACGCGCACACTGCGCGAGCACGGCGACACCCATGCCCAGCAGCCCCCGCGAATCCCGCGTGCGAGGTCGGGCAAATGAGAGAGAGCAAACGGAACAACACGACAGCGAAAGCCAGCGGAGAGAGACACCAGCAGCAAGCCCCAGCCCGGCAGCAAACGCGCCGCACAGGTCACCGTGCACCCGCCAATAAAAGTCCACCGTCCCCCCAACTGCCGGAAAAAAACTAAGGCCGCCGGCGCCAGCCGACATCCCCCATGCCCAGCGCGCCCCCCGGCCGCCATGCAACACCAGCCAAACCAGCAACGAGGCAAAATCAACTAGCTCAGCTGCATGCCACCAACAACCCACCCATCCATCAAGGGCCGAGAACTCCAGGCACAAACCCAGAACAAACCGGAGCACAGCCCTGCCCCGCACCCACACTGCACATCCCGAAAACTAACTATATACCTCAGTATCCAGAGGGGTCCAACAACTGGCCGACAGAGAAATGGGCAAGTACGGATCCGATGCCAACGAAGCAAAACAGGAACGCAAACAGGTCCCTCCAAGCCAACGAGGAGATGCCTCCCCCGGACTCCAACGCACAAACTAAACGCCCAGCAGCCATCCAGAGACCCTGCCCAGGGAAAAAGTATAATACATCAAGATGCATCGATAATCGTCCCACAATCCCACCGCAGACCCCCACCCCCAGAAGCCAGGACACCCTGCGACCCCCCAAAGCGCAAAGGACCCCAGACCGCATGTCCAGGGGGAAGCTGTACCCCGCCCCAAGGAAGAACAGCAGAAAGCCGTGCCGGGAAGCTCGCTACCGCCAGGGAGCGATAACGCGGGAGAACCAGGCCAACGGTCCCCCAGCCCAGCCAGAGGCATCCCTCCCTACAGTGCAGCCAGTGACAGCAGCCCCCGAGGCCGATTTCATCCCCGGACAGGGGCCCAGCCCCCCCAGTCAAGCACCCCCAAGGAGGAGCACCAAAACCTACCCCGACAGCACCGGTCATGCGCCCCAGAGACTCCCGAATGCCCCCACCGTGAGAGAGCTGGCAGGGGAAGCAGCGGGAGCCTCACCTCTGCCGAAGAGGGCCCAGGCGAGGAGAGGAGACAACGGGCCCCCAGGCCCAGGGACACACCACCCGCCCAGAAATGAGCAAAGGCCACAAGCCCGAGTCCGCAGAACCCTAGGCCAAGGGCGGGCCCCCACGCCAGGGGAGCCCCGACCCCCCCAGCCCACCCCAGATCAGGCAAGGCCGCCACCAACCCCACAGCACCCCCAACGCCCGGGCTCCAGGGGTAGGACACGAGGCCAATGAGAATCTCTCCCACTCCTTCAACCCCTCTGCCTGCCTCTGTAAATGTATTGTTTTGTGTTGGATGCATGTCATGGATTGTGAAGTGTTGTATGGTGGAGTGAAGATAAGGTGTGTGGTAACTAAGGTGCAACTAAATACATAGACATATGTATCTTTTGATGACCCTGAGGTTTTGTCATGCCTGATTTGGTCAGTCTAAGGTTTCACTTAGGTTATGGGGCCTGATTGACTTGTGGTCATGACAGGACGGGGTCATTTTTGCTATTAATTTGCTATTTGCTTATTGTTATTCAAGAAGTCTGTAATTTCTGAGTAATAAGTCATGAAGCTGTGCATGTATAATAATTATTGACTTAGCTGACGCTTTTTTCCAAAGCAACTTACAATTGCTACTTATGTCAGAGGTTGCACACCTCTGGTGCAACTAGGGGTTAAGTGTCTTGCTCAGGGACAACACTGGTGAATGTATCACAGTGGGGATCGGACCAGAGTCTCCCACACCAAAGGCAGCTGTGTTATCCACTGCCCCATTGCATTGTCTGTTACATCACTGCATGGACTAGATAGGTTAACACTGTACAGTACAAATGTTGTGTACCAGATGACAGGAAAGTAAAACACCAGTCATACAGTGTTCATTTAGTTGTTAAAGAAGAGCTCAGGTAGAGCAGGGTTAGTCCCAGGCTCCTCATGTCAGTATATTGAACTGTCTTTGAGGAAGACACTGAACCCCTATTGGTCCTGATGTTTGACAAAAGACTCAACCAACTAAGCACTGCACTCCTCTAACACTGTCAGAGCTCCCTCTGGAGTCACAAAAGGCTTCATATAACATTTGTTCATATTTGCAATAGAACTACACAAGACCTGAAACAACTTTGATGTTTGAAATAACTCAAATTTGATCAAACCAATCCGACACAGTCCTGCTCAAGCAGATTAACTGGGCTTTGAGGGTTAAACTCATAATAAATAATACCTAAAGATGTTTTATAAACTGATTGTTGCTCGCTTATTATAGGTTCATTTGTTTAGACATACAAAACTCAACATGGTTCAAAATTTGAGTCACTTAAAGATTATTTTCTTTTAGTCTTAATGTTATAAGACTAAAATGCTTACAGTAATTTTCAACGTCAAAGAAAGTATGTGCAGCAGGGACCAGTAAACATACAAGAAAACCTGGACACTCTATTTTGTTGGGATGTCAGCCTGATAATCAGACTGAATTGCCATTTGGTTTGACTTCCTTCCTTATGAATTGCTGAACAAATCACAGGTGTCTTCAGTGATCCAGAGGTCTGGAACCAGTCTAGTAAAATGTGATGATCTTACTAGCCTGACAGTATCTTATAAAGCAGGGGCTCAAGTTTGGATTGTCTTTTAGTCTATCACTGTTTTTTTCTTATTCTCCACTTGTTGATTTAAGAAAGAACTGTGTCCAGATGGCCAATAGCTTGTAAGACAGCTGATTAGGAAACTATCTGTGGCATCCCTCTCTATAAATAATGGCCTGGAAGCACTCGGCTCTGCTGGGACCAGCTGCTTAACACAGAGGGGTTCATGCTACTGTGGATGCTGCTCCAGAGGAAGCATTGTTGTCACTACAGCAAGGACATTTTTAGAGAGAACAAGAGACTGTATGTTTGTGCGAGAGAGAATGAGAGCATAGGTTAGAGCAAGGCATTTCACAGAAGAGGCTGACAAGTACAAACAACATCTTCAATCAGCAGCAGGACTGCTAAACACTGAGAAAGAATGACAAAGCCTAAACTTCCAAAGACAGCTGAGAAGAAGCCTGCGGAAGAAGAGAAACCTGTGGAACCAGCACAGGTTGAAGCCAGCAAGCCTGAGACAGGGACACCTCCACCTCTTGAGGTAGAACAGCAACCAGAAGCCAGCAGTGAACCACCAGAAGCCGCCCCTGCAGAGGCAGCCCCCAGCGGGGAAGAGAGAGCTCCAGCTGGGAATGAGACACCACAAGCAGAGGGTGTTCCCCCAACAGAAAGTGGTCCCCCGGCAGAAGAGACCCCTGGGGAGCCCGTTCCTGCTGCTGAACCAGAGCCAGAGCCGCAACCTGTTGGTAGAAGGCATTACTTATTTTTGAGATGTTGGATTATCATGTAGTGTTTTAGAAGTATTAATAGTAGAAATTAAATTTAATCGCGTTTATACGGGAATGACAGTAATGGGAAAATTGGCCGCGTATTCCAGACCCTCATTTTTTGGTGGTGTACTTGTTTGAAAGTGCTAAGCATGGTTTAGTAATCCTGCTGTTGATGTTGCAAGTGTCCCATCACAATCTGTATTTGCTTTAAAAAGACATCTGAATTGAATTAACTACCCTGAATTTCTAAAGCCTTTGAACAGCCCCTGCTGCTGTGACTTTCTACACAATCCTTGACCTCTTACAGGTGTTCCCTGAGTCGCTGAGTCTTTTCCGTTGTGATGCTGAGGCCACAACTAAAATTCAACTCTGTCCTTATGTGGTCAAAAGATTGTTGCAAGAATGGGAAATATATGGTTGACTAAATATAACCTCGGAACAATGAGATGTTCTTAGCTTCTTTGTTCTTAGTTTTGCCAGAGAGACCAAGCTTTGAGTGTTAATAACTTGAATCACTGTACATGATTGGGTTTTTTTGTTGGTGTTTTGTGGGATAACATTTCCCTTTGCTTTACTTGTTTCAAGCCAAGCTGCACTAATTTACTGGTGGAGGTCACTGCTCCAGGTGTGCAAACACTTTTGCCTCAACATGACAAATGAATCATTAGTGCTAAAGTAGCCATCTGAGTGGCTAACACACTGTGTTTGATATTATGAATCAGTAGAGGCAGTTTTAATGTGTCATTATTATTCCTTAAGATTTAAAATGTCATGCAACTGGATTAGTTTCACTTTAGTCTCACACAAAATAATTAGCATTTAGTATTCCATGACCATTATTTATGTCTATTAGCAGTGAGTTAGACATCTTTTTCCCCCTCCATAATTCCTCCTGACGCCTACAGTTTTACAATAGACATAAGAAGCTTGTAAATTAGAGAAGAGGTCATAAATCCCAATGCTAAACACTATAATAATAATATTGCTTTATCATTTGCTTTTTACTTGGAAAAAGTCTCTGCGGCTAAAATCTTTTTAGACATTGGTTGCTTCCTTTTGGCCGTTCTGTGTTCTGAAAACAATGCATGAGAAGTAGCTGATGAACCAAAGACATTGAATTCAAATGTAATTTCATCCCTGCGGGACAGAAAGTACATCAGGCAGTAAAACTTCAGCCCTGTCGTGAACTCCAGGTCAATCAGACAGCTCATCTTTCCCAGAATGACATAAACAGGCTGACAGGCTAACATACTGTTTTCATAAGTGATAACACAACCACAAATATTTGAAATTAATATTGTCTTTGTTGTTATTTGAATTAGGACTATCTCCAGGATCAAGCGGACTGTTGTTAAGTTACATATATACTCATTTAAGTTAGTCTTATATAGTTATACAATTTTTATAGTTATATAAATGTTAACTGTAACTGGTTTCTCAGAAAAACAAGCACAGGGCCTGATTCACCAGTTGCAGTTGATGCCTCTTACCCAATCAAAACTAATTACAAGTTTACCAAATATGATAAACAACTACAATACATCAACTGTATTTGCAATGACTGCATATTTAAGATTGGGTGGACTGAAAAAGTAGACATCAGGCAATTTAACCAAGTACAAACATTCTGGGTTTTGTCCAGATCACACTCATTCCCCTTTAATTGGCTCAATTATCCAACAAATCGACTAAATTGCTGCCTTGGTGGCCTCGCTAACTTACCCTGATAGCATTTCTGTAAGTAAAAGTTCAATTGAAAGTAGCAAGCTGATGGAAAAAGTACAAGTTATTGCTGCTCATTCCACCTTAAAACAACTTGGTGGAGTTTACCACTGTGCCCTGCAATTCATTACAGTAGCAACATTTGGATGTGCTTGTATGTGTGGGTGTGTGTTTTGTTGCCTGTTTGATCTTTTTTCTGTTTATTCCGCTGTACTCATGCACTAATTGAGACTCTCAGTTTCATTCTTTATTTGTCAGTTCCTGAAGATACTGTATGAAGTGATTATTCAGTTCAGACTGCTGCTGCTGTGACAAATGTATTGTTGCAATTGATTGTGTTGATAGAATGGAGCGCTGTTTGCCATTACAAAGGTTTTTTGAGTTGTTTTTTTTACTTTCCATAATTTGTTAATTCCTGATCACGTTCTTCCACTTTTTCAGTAATTAATTTATTTCAGTAATGCTTTAACTGAATAACAGAGCACATTTGCCCTCTGCCTCACTCTCAGCCCCTACAAGTGAGCCCATCGGACTGTGCGTCGACGACATCACTGACACTTCCATCTCGCTGAAGTGGCGGCGGCCTGAGAGGATCGGCTCGACTGAACTCGAGGGTTATGGGATTGAGTACTGCAAGGAGGGCAGTAAGTGCTGGAGCCACACGCCTAAATGCATATGATAAGAAAGGTTTTTTTTGGTGGCACATATCATGAAACGTTATATACAACAATCAGTTAACCGAAGCGAAGCTTACAACTGATCTCACTCTCTCTATCTTTGTTTCCTGCATCCATATTAACAGCTATCTAATAAAGGCAAAAATGGCAACAAAAAAACAAAAAGACAGCAATTAAAACACTATATGCTTATAATACATATGTGTGTAATATCTATTACAATAAAAATACATGATGTAATCTACAAGCCTAAAAAGAATCGTAAACAAAAGCTGTAGCAGGCTACAGACATAAGTTTTACAATTAATCTTAAACCTCATGAAAGTTTAGTGCTTTCATGCTATTTTCAACATGTCATTTTACATGAATGCCTGAGACATCTTTCTTGCCTCTAGGACGACAGCATGGTGATTATACGATCACATTAGCCCTTTGTAATTATCTACTTCAGATGTCTTACCGTTGTTTCTATCATCAGCCACCACCGTACACAACAAACATCTGATGATATGCTAACAAAACAGAGACTCAGATTAACTTCCATCTGTGTATTTTTAAACTCTGCTTCCTATGTAACGTTTGCACTTAAGTGAATCATGCCGTTTTAATTAGTTGTGTGTTTTTCTGGTCACAGCAGATGAATGGATACCAGCCATTCAAGGTCTGACTGAGAGGACATCGCTGGTCATCAAGGATCTCACAACCGGAGACAAGCTGCAGTTCCGTGTGCGAGCCTACAACATGGCAGGACCCAGTACTCCTGCGACTCTGGCTCAGCCCGTCACCATCAGAGAGATAATGCGTGAGTATTTGTAGATTTGATACTTTTGACAACTCCCTGCTCAGTAAAACTCACCCTTGAGTCCTGAGCTTCCTCCATTTTCCAGTCCCCGTCATGCTTCTTATTCTGTGTTTTCTTCTTTCACAGAACGCCCTAAAATTTGGCTCCCGAGAAATCTCCGCCAGACTCTCATCAGGAAAGTTGGAGACACTGTCAACCTTGTCATTCCATTCCAGGTGCAGTATACACTATGCTAAATCATCATTAAAACACCAAGATGCTCTACTCTATGTGTCTTCATACGATTTAAACACCAGAGTGAAACATGAACAAGGCACGAAGACTGAATTACAATTCACATACAAAACATTCAAATGAATCAGTAACTTGGGAAAGTCTAGGAGACGCAGGAATAAAGGGTAAAATAAGGATTAATATTAAGTTCATAGCAAAAACAAAAACAAATATTATGACATTAAATCATTAAAATTATGTAGATGTACACATAATGTTCTGATTAATGTCTTTCTAATGGCTTTGTATACATGCTACAAGAAGATGTGTTGTTGATGTTTGACTTCAAAATCATGAAAACAGGACAGTAAGAAGTTACAGTATGTGACATACTAATATAGAGATGGACTAACAGCAAAATAACAGCAAAAACTTGGACGGTAGCTGTGATTTTATAGTGATTAACAAACTGGCTGAAAATTGAATGTCACCTTTAGTATTGTTAGATCCATATCTATCCAAAATTTTCAACAAAGAATGTATTTCAAGATGGGTGATGGTTGATTTTGTCACATACCATTTTGAACTTTCTGGTCATGCAGGGTAAGCCCAAGCCAATGGTCACATGGAGCAAAGACGGGGAGCCTCTAGACCCCTCATTTGCTAATGTGAGGAACAGCGACGTGGATACGATCCTCTTCATCCGCAAGACGGACAGAAAACACTCTGGGAAGTATGATCTCCACGTGCAGATTGAGAATGTAGAAGACACAGCAAGTATCATGCTGCAGGTTGTTGGTAAGCAGGACTGAACACATGAAGAGCTGTGGGTATAAATCAGTAGTAAACTGTAACGGCATTCATGCTATTAACTTTCTACCATACACAGGTTTTGCCAGCGGACAATTAGTCACAATTCATATTCTCCTCTGTAGATCTCCCAGGGCCTCCTGAGGCACTGAAGATCGTGGATGTCTGGGGCTTCAATGTGGCACTTGAATGGAAGCCACCCAAGGACAAGGGTAACTGTGAAATCACTGGCTACAATGTTCAGAAAGCTGACAAGAAGACCATGGTGAGACTTCAGCAACAAAGCTTACCTCTATTTTTATATTAGGTTCAAATGAAGCTAAAAACAAGCGATAGTGATATTCATCATAGGTAATTATTGAAGGTAAACCCTCTAAGAATTTATGTTCATATGACATTTGAGGTCTTCACAGAGGAAGGCAATGGTCGCCATGTCATTATAGCTCATAATTTCTTGTTCACTGAAACTGATCCATTGCAGGCTGTCTGACAGCCACCAACTGAGCTCCTTTAAAACCAAATCCTTTGAAAACTTCTCGTTCTATAAACATGAATGAGTGTGTCTGTACATGTGAGAGGATGAATGCTGTATGGACGCAGGATATTTTAGCCAACCTTTTGATACAATCTGTAATCAGCCAATGCTGAGGATACAGTCTCGTCTGTGGGCCAGGAGTGATGCATTATGTGTATGTTGGCAAGAGCTCCCACTGGCACGATCCTCCACCTCGAGCTGGCAGGAACAATGTTGGCCAGGAATGTCCTAATCTTATCCCCGTAGCCCTGACCTGGTCTGGGTCATCTGTACAGTGACGCGGGGCCATTGTTCTCTTGCCCAGTGCGGCTGATGGTTCATGTTTCATTGTAGTCATTATTAGATCAAATTAATTTAACTTGCATTTCTTTATAGCAAGCTTGGGGATGTTGACTATCATGTTACCAAAAACAATGTACTGTGTACCTGTTAGATGTTAGAGACAACGGCTGATATATATATAAAAGTGCTGAGGGCACATGTAGTTAAAATTGATCCATATCCAGTTTCATTCCTGTACCTAAATAAATATATTTGAGAGAATTACACAACTCCTCTAGTTTCAGGTAGATTATGAAGGTATTTTAAAACCAAATGGTATCTCTAGATCATTATGTTAGGAAGTTATTTGCCATGTTCTAATAGACAAATGTAATTTGCCTGAGTGAAAAAACAATGGATTAAATTCAGACTGTGTCAATTTATGTGGACCATAATGGTATAGGGAATGTGATTAACTCTTTTCTGCCTTTATATTATTACTAATTACTTTTTTTAACATTAAAATTATGAGGTTCTTAATTACAACTTCCCCCTTAGCTTAACATCAACCTACGCATTTTGCATTTTTCACTTTATTACATACTGTAATTGCTCAAATATCTGATTTGCAGTGATTGCAATACAAGCCAAGTAAAGTTGTAGTTACATTTTTCATGGAAGGCAATACAGCCCCCAACTAGAAAGGACTAATACACACAAAGAATGTTTAAAGCAGCACAGGGTTCACTTAAGTAAATGTCTGAAAATGGCCCAATATGAATATGTGCATAGAAATTACTATACGGATATGTGACAAATGAAAGGAAAGTGTTTTAGCGAGGTGTTGTTCCACCATGACCGTCCATAGCAACTTCACTGACAGTGATCCTTTGCATAGACTCTTCAAGTCTCTGAAACGCTGGAGGGAGGAACACCATTCTGCCAAAAGATCTTCCCTTATTTGGCATTTTGATGACGGTGCTGTTATGTGCGTCAATCCAAAATCACCCGTAGGTGTTCAGTTGGGTTGAGATCTGGTGACTGTGACAATGACAACATATGATTCATATAATTTTCATCAAATCATTTCGTGAACCCCCTCATGCCCTATATGGAAGCATCTGCATTCATTTTGTGTCTTATTTATTCACATTTTCTTCTACCTGTACAACATAAACCATACAGTATGAAAAACTGAATCTGAAAACTTTTTTGTGATTCATATGAAGGAGTGGTTTACAGTCTACGATCAGTACAGGCGAAGCAACTGTGTTGTGTCTGACCTCATCATGGGGAATGAGTATGTCTTTCGAGTCTTTGCCATAAACCTGGTGGGTCTCAGCCCAGAGCCCTGCATCACAAAAGACAGCGCTTACATCCAGAAAACAGGTGGGCTCTGACTGCACTTATATAATTAGTTCAAAGCAGTTATGATTCTGATTTCATGTCCTGTAAGTGTAGATGTTATATGTGAAATCTTAAAATTTGTCATGAAAAAATAAGCACAACTGAAGAAAACTGTCTTTCTGCCGGCCTCCTCAGGAATGGAGTACAAGCCGCCTACCCACAAGAACCATGACTTCACAGAGGCTCCCAAGTTCACGCATCCTTTGGTGAACCGTTCTGTAATAGCAGGATACAACGCCACCCTCAGCTGCTCAGTCAGAGGCATACCAAAGGTCAGTAGGCGCATATAAGAAAATGTGCAAAGGCATATGTGCAATCACATATCAAAAATCTTGGATGTTATCAACTATCAATTGAATGCAGTAGTCATAACTTTTATTGGAAAACATTTTAGGTGGAATTTCGCCAAAAACTATTTGTACTCAAGGTCCACTTTCTAGCCACTATTTCAACCATAGCACAGAAGCTGTAATAATTTTCTTCAGAGAACTTTTAGGACTTTTTGTCCATGTTGGCTTAAATGTTAGGCATGAAAGTTCACGCTTCAAAAATAGCAAAACAATCCAAGCTCAAGGTCCACTTACTGACTTTTCTCAGAGCTTTCAACCAGAGCGAAGAATGAACTTTCATGCTTAAATACTTTTATTATAGAAAAATATATAATAACTGAGTAAAATACAAAAATGACTACAACCAAAGAAAAAATACTCCCAAACCAACAGAAATGTCTACCCACAGTATAACCCCCTGGCCCTCTACATGCAGACATTTGGAGATTAATAGCAAGTAATAAACACCCTGTGCTCAGTGAAACAGTATCCACCAGATAAATCAGTGATTATGATTGTTACTAATGGACCAGAACTAATTGTGCAGTAGTGACAGAAGTGCCGACTGTGTAAAATATCACCTGACATACTGTAATACTTTGTCCTACCTTGTTAGCCCAAAGTGACTTGGTACAAAAACAAGATGGACATCACAAATGAAGCCAAGTACCGGATGCTCAGTAAGCAAGGTGTTCTGACGCTGGAGATCCGTAAGCCCTGTCTGTTCGATGGGGGAGTGTATATGTGCAAAGCAGTCAATGACATCGGAGAAGACATAGTCGAGTGTAAACTGGAGGTTCGCCGTAAGTATCCTGCTAGGTGTTACAGGGACAGAAACCCTGTCCTCTTTCTCATGACACACTTTACACTCTTGTCTTTCCCCCCATTACCCCTTCCTTTTCATCCTTAAAAAATAAAATGTTGAATCATGAAAGTCCACATAAAATGAATGTCTTTAATGAAGAAAAACACATTTTAGCATTCTCTATATAGTAAAACGTTTTAAATTAAAGCACTATATTCCTGTGCTGGAATTTCCAAAATAGTGCTTTATTTCACCTTGCTTTCCTAATTTCCAATTAGTTTCCTGGACAGTGTATGTTTATGATTATAGGAAAAATAGAAATTTCCCAGAAAGAACTGCAGAATTTGAATAATTCAAATAGAATATTGTCTCAGAAAAATCTCAACACAAGATCCAACTTATGTTTCTTGTTTCCTGAAAGTTTCGTCATGCAGTTGCTCAGTTGGTAGTAACAAGAGTACCTTAGCAACTCCATCTGCTGAGGAAGGCCGCCATATGCGGTTGAATGAAAGCTTCAGAAACAACAAAGTAATATGTTGTATTCAAACTTTAAATTTTTCTGTTTTCAAGGTAGAGAATGAACATTCATGCTCAACAAAAATTAATTCATTACTCACTTACTTTTGTTCTCTCAGGGCTGCACTTGCAAATCATTCGAAAGTATGAAATGAAATGCATCAACTGACCACACTCTCTATTTTCCTTATTATTAGTACCAAATTACATAGTTATTTGTGAGTAACCTCTGGGAGTTTAAGTGCAAGTTACAGACCTTTAAAATAGTCAAAAATGGATACTTTTTAAAAAAAACATAACAAATTGATGCCTAGTTTATTTGACAGTATCTATAGTAATAACAAACAAACATGAAAGCATATCGTCATGTGGTCAAAAATCACAACACAGCATTACTAACATGTATTTATGAATTCATTCTAAAGGTCTAAATAGAGCTTAAAGACATCATGCAGTTACTTTTAATGAGTGTGTCTCCCAGTGTTTTATCCTGTCATGATTCAAACCAACCTATGATCCTGAGGATAGACCCAACCCCACTACATCCTGTGATAAATGCTGTTGAAGGATAGGTCAAATCATCTATGCTTAATGAAACACAAATGTATTTATCACATTCCTCTGCATTTTGACTCAAGATTAACTTAACTTAAAGTTTTTTAATGAGCTGTAATCAATATTTTTATATCAATAATGGATCACATGACTACTTGTTTAAGATGTCGCTTGTAGTGATGAACCCACAGACAATTACCACCAGACTCTGCAGTTCCTCTCAGCTTTACAGACTTTTTATGTTATTTTTATTTTGTTTATTGCCCACAACTAACGGTGCACTCTCATGGTGTCAAACCCACTGTACGCTACCTGCTCAGCACCAAACGGCAGACAGACAGAGTTGGCGACTAGCTGGTGAGCACAGTTGAGTATTTAGCAGCTAAAGAGCCCCCAAGTGTATAAAAATCTATTATTGCAGTCATAAGATTTTATTCTTTTTATAAAATATAAAAATACTTCTTATTAAATTGTTAAGGCATCTGTATGTTGACTTATGTTCCTGGCTTGCAGCTCAAATTGCTAAAGAAGAAAAGAAGTAAGACGTCTGAGCTGCTGACAGAAGAGAAGATCGACGCCTGCATGTTGACTTTTTTGTCATGAGAAACTCTCCACCTACATCACAAACTGTGTTTTGCCCACATCTTTTTCTTTTTTTGGGTTTTGCACCACTTTCCTCTTCTGTAATCATCCTTGTAACCATCTTGCTATCCTCCCTGTTATGTTAGTACCATGTGTACCGCTGAATTGAACTGACTGGGACTCATTGCTTGAATTTGCGGTTTATTAGTTGGGAAGTATTGGTATTTATGTATTATTTAAAAAGTAATGGTTTGTCACTTTCTACACTCACTTCCAGGAGTAGACATAAATGGATCATGGTGTCCAGTAAATATGGATAATAGTCAAAGAAAGTTGCAATATTTATGAAATGACTTTATGATCTGTCATTTTGTTTCTCACTTATTTCAGCTGGGGGAAAGGAATGGATTAGAGTGTTTGGATTTGTTTGTGTGCTTACAAAGGTCAATATAAATGCTTCAAAAATACAGTGAGTGATTCAATTCAGTCATATTATCAAGTAGTGGCATTATGCTACAGTGTAGTCAGTGATGCACAGATGGTGACCAGTTCCTGAAACTGCCATCGTGATAGCTGCAGCAGCCGTTGGTATTCAGAAAATGTAAAAAGCATGCCACAAACACTCAGAAGTCCAGTGGAATGGAAGAGTTGTCGGGGGCTTAGTTTTATTGTATCAAAGCCCACTAAAGCCAGTGGTGTGAGGCATGTGCCTAATGTGCACACCACAGAGGGATGGATGTGTGTGAAGGGCTGGAATTGCAGAGATGTCCTTTTACCGCTGAGGACATGCGTCAGTGAAGAGGAACACATGTTTAGGTTCGTGGAGAGGGAGCTGCTGTAACATCACTCGGCAGTTATTCCTTTGATGCCTTGAATGTACACATTTCCTGTGCCCTTTCAATGTACAGCTGGAAAACATCCAGTGTGCCTTGTACATGTCACTGGGCCACTATTAACATACATGATGGATGTTTTACAGTGCCTCTGTGTTTGCAAGGTGTTTTGACATGGGGTTTCACCAAAATCCACAAATTCCAAGTCAAAAGGTGACACTTTCAAAGCTAAACAGGACTTCTCAAGTTTCATGTATGTTCCTTTATACCAATCCCAGAAGTTAATTTTCACTCATCACCAAGTTACAGCTCACTACACGAGTAACAGGAGCCAGCACCGGTATACAACATGACTTGTGACTGGAGGTGAAAGGAAATTCCACTGAACGGCACAAATGGTCTTATCTACGTTAACAGGCGTGGGAAGGTCTACATTTACACAAAACATCTCACCCTTAAAATGGTGTTTTCACAGGCAATTTCAACTGAAAATAGGTTAACAAAACTTCTCTACAAAAGTCTACAGTTAGCAGATCTGAGGCTGTACTACAAAATGCTAACAGCAGTGGTGGAAGAAGTAGACAATAACACAGTGATACTAACTCTGGAAAAGTACTAGCATGAACGTATACTTAAAGTACCCCCCCCCCCCCAAAAGTTCAGAATAATATTTATTATATCATATTATTGGTTTATAATTATTGATGCATTAATGTACACTTCAGATTATTAATACAGACTATAGTCAGCAAATGCATATTTGTTGATTATATTTTGTATTAATTTATTAATAATTAAATAAATACAGTAAAACATGCAATATTCCCCTCTGAAACGTATGCTAGTGTAGAAGTATAGAGTATCATAAAATGAAAATAAGTACCCCAATAATGAGTTTGAGTTCTGACTTGAATAAATATACTTAGTTACTTTCCACCACTTAACATCCTTTCCTAACATGCCCACAATGACAGACAGGTTTAATGTTTATCTAATCACTATCTTAGTTTAGCATGTTAGCATGCTAATATAATATTTACTAAATAGCAGCACTAAACACAAAGCACAGCTAAGGCTAATGAGAATGTCGTTAGTTTTGTAGGTATTTTGTCATGAACCAAAGTATTGATTAAAAGAAATTTCAACCCTGATTGTGGCGCTTGATGAAAAGTTAAGGGATCACCAAAGTTATTACAGTTCATCCTGCAGGGGGCATTAATGTTTGTACCAGATTTTTCATGGCAGTCCATCCAATAGTTGTTGAGATATTTCAGTCTCACCAAAGTAATGATCTAACTGATTGCTATCAGCATCACTGCTAGAGTGGCTAAAAATGGCTTTTTGGACGATTATTATGAGCAGAAAAAAAGACATCTAATTATCTTCTATCTACTGACAGTCGAGTTCACATAATTTCTCTTTGATGTATCGACTATTTGATGGTAGTTTCAAGTATATCACGTTTGGTAAGGATAATGATAAGTCCTCATTTAGTTCAAATTTAATTCATCACCATGGTAAATTCTCTTAGGACTGGACAAATGGTTTGAGCGGAAACATAGGGCCTAATTTGAAAGACAAGGAATCTTCCATTGTACAGCATGTCAGACTGATGTTCAGAGTTCAATTAGGAACTCCTCTGGGAGAACAAAATGTAGGATTACAGACAATATTTTCATTTCAGGGGTTCCTTGACCTTTCTATGACATTGCAACAAACAGAACTTTCTATATTATCCACATTCCCAAAAATCAATCTATGCAGGAACTTAAAACAAAGCAAAGCTGCATTGACAAGAATTTTGTGATATGACAGCTGGATATGAGAAGTTTTAACAAGGTAGAGAGCACAATCATTTCAGATATATAAAATATTCGATGAAGACAATGGTCACTACAGTGTTAAATTTAACACAAATGTAAATAAAAAATACTAGTGTTCTTCCAATGTTATTCATTCACAATTTGTAGAATTTATTTTTCTATTTAAACAGAATAAAACAACTTGGGGAGATCTCACATGAAAAACTACAAATAAGATTGAATTTGAACTGAAATTAAGTGAGGTTTTTTTATAATCTGTATAATTCTGCAAGTTTGTCTCTATAAAAAATAAAACAAAAATTTCATAGTTTAAAGTTTGGTTTAAAAAAAATCACAGTATACAGTACATAGATTCGTCCCACAATTTGCACTTATCTAAAATGACAACCACGTGTCAACATGAAGCCAAGAAGGCAAATAAATGAACACAGACTTTTCTTTTACAAAGCACCGCTGGTAGCCGCTACATTTGAGGAGGTAGCTTGCTTAGTTAGCATCCCATTCTTGATTACTTGCTTTCTTTTTCAAATAATTTACATAGAAATTCAAAAACCAAAACTGCTAAAAGATTTGTACATTTTCACCAGACGGGACATCAGACATCTCAAACAATCAAATGACATTTTGGTTGGTGCAACAATTTACACACCCTGTCGAGATCATGCCTACACGGAAACAGAAAAGAAAACCCTAAAGAGTCATATGAAATGGTATATTATAAGGAGACAAGAATGTCTTGTTGGTGGAAGAAAACTTTTCTCTACATTGCCTAAATTCCTGAGCACTCACATGACGCGCACTTGTGGATACATGCTCCGAGGGTGTATCCAACTTAATGTGTAGAGTCATGCTCCAGCAACACCAAACGCCAGTCAAACCCTCGTCTCTCTTACACTCTCTCTCACACACACACACACACACACACACAGTCTTTCTTACGTCAGCTCTCAGGATGAAAAGAGATCTATGTAAATATGGAACATAATAATGCTCTTCTGATGACCTGTACAATAAAACTGGGTTATATAGACTGTAATAAACTGATAATGTAACTGGATATGAAAGACACTGGAGGCAGAATTAGTTTTTTTGTTCTTTTTGAATTCCTATTATTTTCAACATAGGCCTAATTTTCCTACTCTTGTACCATAATGCCAATTTATTCTGGTCCAATTTTTTCCAATTACTTCACTGTAGAGCTCGAAGGACCTCGGCAGGTACACGGACTGCTTACGTGCACACAAACACCCAAAAATCTCTTGCAAATGCAAAAACGCACTGCAGATACTTGTCTTTAAATATCTGTGGTTGAATAATGATCACCCACATTTCAGTTATAATAGTCCACTTCATACTTTTTGGCACTGCTTAAACACTTTCTTGTTGACTCAGCTGGCTGCCAGTCTGCTGCGTTCACATCGTGTTGGAAGAAGTGGAAGAGTGGGATTACATTCACGTGTTTAACTTGGACGGTATTCATGTGTTTAACTTGTTGCTCACAAGCCAAATGATGCTTAATGATGAGTTTCAGCTCAAACAGAAATGTCAGCTATCTCTCATCTCGTAAGTTCAACAAGTGTGAAAACAGTTGATTTAGATTTCATAGTTGTTGCTTGTCGGTCACCAAACTACGATTATGTTTGTATCATTATAGTAATTATTACTACAATTATTATCTACAATTTGTGGCACATAAAATTAATTCAATTTTTTTTTTCTTTTGTGACATTTCAGGAAATATTCTCTTTTGTGCCCAAAGTTAGATGAGAAAAGCAATAGCTCTCTCATTTCTCTATGCTAAATACTGAGCTAAAGCCAGCAGTTTGTTAACTTATTTTAGCTTCACATAAAGTCTGGAAACAGAGGAAAACAGCTAGTCTTACTCTGTCCGAATGTAACATAATCCACTTACCAGTACCTCTAAAGCTTACTAACTGATATATTATATCTCATTTCTTAATCCTTCAGTTTTTTTAAAAGAGTAAACAGACTAGTCATTTCCCTCTGCTTCCAGTCTTTATGCTAAACTAAGCTAACCATCTCTGCTGGCTGTTGCTTCATATTTGGTGTGCAGATAAGTAGAAGTGATCTTCTCATCTTCCCATCAGCAAGACAGCTTATAAGCATATTTCCAACAATGTTGAAATTATTCCTTTAATCCTTTAAAAAAAAAAAAAAAAAAATCATCATGATGGCGAAAACTCAGAAAATAAGGCCCAGATTTCAGACTAATGAAAATAACTACCTAAACTAGTGTGTGTACAATTTTTTTGTGAAAAACTAAACAAAGAGAGGTGCTGTTGTTTTGGTGAATGCTTGGCTTATATTGTATATTCATCACTCAAAGGCCACCTTACATACACGTGAAATCGTGTCCAACCAAACACTGTTCACACAATAAATAACATCTTTCACCACCACCAAGCATCGTTGCTAAAACAGTGATATCTGCTACTTTTATCACATTCTTAGTCTTAGTAACTTAAAAGTAAAGAAGTGTTTATTATAAACTAGCATTTACTTATACCATTCTCACACAGATAGATTACGATCGTAGGCAGGTAGGGCAGAAGTTATTGCTGACTTTACATTATTCCCTTCTGGTGGGTAAAGACCACCTGAAAGTTACATTCGCACAGAAAAGTCTAGGCTGATTATTCATTACTACATTTACGTTTAAAAAAATCAAAGTATAAAATCAACAGTTGCTGTGGAGAAGCTTTAAAAATTGACAAGATGTATAACAATGACTTAATTAAAAAGCTTATAAGTACAAGTGAAACAGAGAAATCACAATCTTTGACACATCCA